TACTACCTGAGCCATCTCCCCCAACCCCTTGAACAATCTTAATTACTAATTTCAGAAGGAGTTATGATAACTGGCCTCTAGGATTCAAGTTTTCCTAATATTATGTTTATAGCTTACAAATATTTGCCATGATGATTAAGTAGAGTTGTGCCTACAGAAGATAAGGCAGAATTGGAAAATGGAGGTAAAGAGACTAGGTAGGAAGCTAGTTAAAAAAAAAAAAAAAACTAAGCCAAGATAAAGTTTAAACTTTAGAAAAATGGAGGTTAGTGGTGCCATTAACTGATGCAAGAACCATCGGAGAACGTCCAGATTTAGGTCAAGAGATGGATTTGCCTGCATACATATGACTTTGAAGATCAGCAACACTTGCAGATATTCAACAGCTAAAACTAGGTTCTAAAAACTGGGTGTGGTGGCAGACTGTAATCCCAGCACTAGGGAGGTAGAGACAGGAAGGCCCCAAGTTCAAGGTCTTGCTTGGCTACATATCAAGTTTTAAGACCTGCCTGGGCTACATAAGATTCTGAGACTAAATAACACAGAAAAAAAAAAAAAAAAAAAAAAAAAAATGAAAATGTCCAATGTGAAGCCCAGAGACCTTCACCTTCTTGTCCAGTCACGCCAACACATCTGCAATTCCCAACAGAGGGCCTAACTCAAAAAAAAAAAAAAAAAAAAATCCTATAACAGCAGATACCATGCTTCCTATCTGGTTAACTTCTAATCATCTTATTAATAGTCAGGATTCATTTTCCCAAGCCCTACTTAATTCCCAGGAAGAGAATGGTACCTGAATCTTACCTTTTCTACTTCCTCTCTATACCCAGTTTATAGCTCCATGCCTAAAATAGCATGTACTTGAAAGACAGAAAGAACAGACTTGGAGTGTGTTCAACACTACTTGGAAGGTGTCGTGTCTTCTTAGAGGTGACCCACTGGAGAAATAAACTTGGACAGGATTTCCAAAAGGGAGAAAAGAAAATTAAGTAGTCTTTCTATAAATGTCTGGTATTCAATTACTGTTTCTTCTCCTTGAACCCACCTGAAAACATGTTATTGTCTGATTCTTTCTTTGCAGTTTTAGCAATTGCCATGCCCTGAAAAGCAACCAGATTCAAAAAATAGCATATAAGACAGAAGGATAGCCTTGCCAGAGGGTCTCTTTAGAGCAGTTTCTCACCCTCAAAACTATTGACAATTTTGTCCTGCAATTTTCCATCATGTCTTCTGCACTGTAAAATGTCTCGCAGCATCTTTCAATATATTGGTGGGACCATCAGGTGGTTGTGGAACAAAGTAAGGAAATCTCTGCTATAGGTTTCAAATGTCTTTTTTTTTTTTTTTTGGTCTTTTTGAGACAGGGTCTCCCTGTAACCCCAGCTGGCCTGGAACTCACTATGTACATAGACCAGGCTGGCCTTGAACTCACAGAGATCCACCTGCCTCTGCCTCCCATGGGATTAAAGGCATGCACCACCATGCCCAGCCTCTCTCTCTCTTTTTTTTAATGTGTTGTTCTTTTTGTTTGAGGCAAGGATTCACTATGAAGCCCTGGTTAACCTGATCTGCCTGCCTCTGCTGGGATTAAAGGCATGTTCTACTACACCGAATTTTTTTGTGTGTGCACACGTATGTGTGTGCATGTGTGTATGAAAGTATACACACATACCACATGGGTTCTAGGGATTGGGGGCCATAAGATTTGGCAGTAAGTGCCTTTACCCCCTCGGACATCTCACCATCTCTCTAGCAGCATCTTTTAAACTTTATCTACTCCCCGTCAAAATTGCCTCCAGACTTTGTCAAATGCTCCATCTAAGACAGAATTTCCTCTAAGAACTAGTCCCCGGGCTGAAGAGATGGCTCAGAAGTTAAAGAGTACTTCATGCTCTTCCATAGGACCTGAGATCAGTTCCCAACACCCATGTTGGGTGGCTTACAAATGCCTATATCCACAACTCCAGCAGATCCAATGCCCTCCTTTAGCCTTATGCAACCTGCACACCTACAATATACATTCACACAAATAGACACACATACACATAAAAATAAATTTTAAAAAATATTTCTCTAAAGCTAAAAGAACTTCTCATAAATTCCTAAAGTCTTTCCTGACATTACATTATGCTTAAAACTTATAAATCATTTTCCTTAACACTTAAACAAAATTGGTACCTATCATTTTACTGCCAAGTCAATCAGAGTATTCAGTCTTAAATGCATTATCATACTGCACTCCTGAAAGTCTAACATAGTGTAATAAAAGTAGGAACGGCCAAGTCCAAAGGTCTCTAACATAAAAATAAAAAGGTTTGTCCCAGTATTCAAAACATCTCTTTTAAACTGGTATAGAGGGCACTAGATTGGTATTATGGAAAGTGAAATTTATTTTAATTTCCTCAATTATCTTCCAAATTTTAAACAGACACAAATGACAGGTATGTACCTGCTTCCTTATTGGTAAAATGGAGATTGATTAATGTAATTACCTAATTGGGTTGTTATGGAATTGAGTTAAAATAGAATACTGAAACTGCCTGGCATGTACATATTTAAATGTTAAAGGTTCTCAATTATCGCCGGGCTTGGTGGCGCATGCCTTTAATCTCAGCACTTGGGAGGCAGCGGCAAATGGATCTTTGTGAGCTCAAGGCCAGCCTGGTCTACAGAGTGAGTTCCAGGACAGCTGGAGCTACAAGGAGACCCTGTCTCAAAAAAAAAAAAAGATTCTCAATTGTCATTTTTAAAGGTACATACACAAAAAGACTCATGTCTTCCATAGTTGTTTAACAGCCAAACAATAAACTTGTACCTTGATGCCCTGAGTTCATATCCCATTCCTTAAATGTATTTGAGCATCAATATCCTCATCTGTAAAATAGGAGTAATCCATGCCTTCCTTATAACATAAAGCTGTCCTACAAGATAATAAGCACTGGGTAATTGTGAAAATGGATCATCATTATATATGAAGCACTGTTTTCATTAAAAGAAAATCTAAGGACTTTATTTGGGGGGGCACATGTGAAAGGTCAGAGGACAACTTGTGGAAGTTAGTTCTTTCCTTCTACCTGTAGTTCTGGGGATAGACTCAGGTCATCAGGTTTGGCAGCCAAGCAACTTTATCTACTGAGCCATCTCCTTGGCCCAGGACTGTATTTAAATAGGATAACGGGAAAGCTGCATCTTTCAATTTGGTGGAAGTTTTCTGACAGAGGTACCTTTTAAAGAAATAATTCTAATAAAAAGCCAGCAAGATAAGCACATGCTTTGAACGCAGGTAGGTCTGATGTTAAAACCCTTACTTGGGGTTGAAGAAATGGTTCAGTGGTTAAAAGCACTGGCTGCTTTTGTGGAAGACGGGCTTGGTTCCCAGAACGCACATGCCAGCTAACAACCATCTATAACTCCAGTTCCAGGGGATGTGATGCCCTCTTCTGGCCTCCTCTGGCCTCCAAAGGTTCCAGGCACACGTGTGGTACACGTACATACATAAAAGCAAAACAATCATATTCATAAAAAAATATTTTTTAAAAATGTCTCCAAAACAAAAACCAACCTTCAAAACTGCTTGCTTTATTATACATGCAGTTTAAAAGTTTAATCACATTGATTTATTTATTTTGTGTTTGTGCCTGAGTGTGCCAAGGCACATGTGTGAAGGTCACAGGACAATTTTTGAGAATAGGTTCCAACATGTAGATCCTGGAGATTGAACTAAGGTCATCATCAGGCTGAGCAGCTGCTGAGTCACCTCATCTGCCTTCAAACATTTTAACTTTTAAAAAAAATCCTAAGCCAGGCATGGTGGTGCATGCCTGTAGTCCCAGCACTTGGGAGGCAAGAGGCAGGCGGATCTCTGTGAGTTCAAGACCAGCCTGGTCTACATAGTGAGTTCCAGGACAGCTGGGACTACAGGGAGACCCTGCTTCAAAAAGGCAAAAAAAAAAAAAATCCTTAAATATTTTTTAAATGCTTTACATTCAAGACATGACATATGCACACTAACCTTCTAAGAGTAGCAGGCATATATCAAACACACTGAAAGGGATTTGGTCGTCTTCCATTCAAATCAAGAACACCAGCCCCTAAGTAACCTTTTCTTTTCAACTGTGAATAAAGCTTTTCAATTGTTTTGAAGGTGGAGAAGATGTGTTGGAAGAAATGAGATTTGTCTTGGATAATCAGTAGTATCACCAGTTTTAAATCAGTTTGATGTGTCTATTTTTAGATAGAAAAATCACTGCCTTCCAATGAGCATTTCAAAGTCATCAAAGATTGCACACACTGAACTTTATACTTATGAGGAAGAAATGCTTTTAACGAATTTTTCTAAGAAAAAATTGCGACATCAATTACACGTGCCTCAGGTGCTGGGGTAGCACTATCACCGCTGTTGCCAATTGTGCAAAAAAAAGAAAAAAACTTTCCTAACCGTTCAGCCAAATGTTACCCCAGCAGTCTGAAGTAGATCTGGGGTTCCTGGTAGAGGGGGGGATCACCAAAAATGATGTATTTCATAAAGGTGACCCCAAAAAGTCAAGACGCCCTTCTTCAACATCTTTCGAAAAATGCTATTTAATCTTTTTTCCAGGGTCCAGCAGGGGCTGGCCTCCCTCCGGCTCGCAATTCCCCAGGAAGGAGAAGGTGGCAGCTGCAAGGATGGGGCCCGTGACTGGCCCCAAGACTTGCACGTGGTGCCAGAGGCAGGCTCGGACCCCTCCAAAGACACACACCCCCACCCCACCCCACCCCCTAACGGCTGCTGTGATTGGTCAAGGGCTACCAAAGCCAGAGCTCCACCTGAGCCCGGCCCAACAGAGATAGCACCGAGGGGAGTCGCTGCTAAGCGGGCAACTCCCCGAGCTGCAGGTCCAGCGTGCTGGCCCCATGTGGGCAGAGGAGACACCATGCAGCATCCCGCCTGCACGCCCCACGTGAGCCCTGGCTTGCTGCAAGGGCCGTCCCCCCTCCTGCCCACATCGGGCAGCGCTCACCTCAGTGCTGGCGGCGCTTCCACCTTCAGCTTTTTGGGCTTCGGCTCCCCGTCTGCTGCTGCCATCTTAGCACTCTCACCCAAGTTTCGCTCCACCGCGCTCCCCGCCCCTCACCTTTCTGGGCCCGCCTCCTCACCGCGTCACCACCTCCTTGCTGCTAAGTCCCGCCTTCTCCTGGCTCCGCCCATCCCGTGACGCTAGTCCACAGCCATTGGCTCTAACCGTGGGGCGCTCACCTAATGCCCCGTCCCTCCACGACCTTGTTTACCCGACTATGAGGGACCCCAGGCGGAGTTAGGCTGCGGACGAGCGCCTGCGTTGAGGGAGTGCAGAGCGCCCTGTTCTTCCAGAGCCTGGGATGAGGGAGGTGGACGTTCTCGATCTCGAGGGACATCTTTCCTCTCGCTGAGCACTCTGCGCATTCTGTCTTCCTGGAACTGCGGGCCGAGTTGGAGTCTTTCGTCAGGCAGTGTGTTGAGCACCCCAAGCGCGGGGTCCTCGCGGCTTTCTCTGCAGCCTCAGCTTCGGTCCAGAGAGGACCCGGCACCAAATCACTGACTCGCCCTGGTGTCGGGGTGAGTGTGAGGGGCGGGGAGTCTGCGGACTAGGGACGTCTGAAAGCTGGGAAGTTGGCTGGGTAGCGGGGGCTCGGGAATCGGGCTCCGAGCGGCTCTGCGGTTGACGGCCGGGGCCGCACCTCTCCCAGCGCGCGCGGCCTTCTGGCCTTTCTACCCCGCGAGGCCGGAAGGGAGAGGTGCACCTGCCTTGCAGGGTTCTGGAACCCGAGGTTCCGGGTCGCTTCATCTACAAGAAGGTGGAGTACCGGGGACGTGAATATCAGTCCCCGGCTTCGGGCTTGGAGAGCAAAAGCCCTTATGAACCTGAGGTTGGCGTCGGGGATGAGCGAGCCTGGGATGGGGAAACTAAGGACAGTGCGGTGTGGCAGGGCTGAGAACTGAGAAATTGGTCGGAGTATGGAAAAGTGAAATGCTGCGGGGATCAAAGAAGGAAGCTGAAATTTGAGGATAGTTGGATCTGATGATTAGAAAGGCATTGGGCCAATTGAGATAAGTACTTTTAGTAGAATCAGCCACTGAGGAAAGCAAGTGTAGACCAACCTTTCATGTGAGGCATGAAATGGTATTATGGAGATGGGCAGAGACTTGGCATTTGTGCGTTTTAAAGGTAATTGGATATGGTGGCACAGGCCTTATAATCCCTCTACTTAAGCAGAAGCTGGAGAGACACATATGTTTTGGGCCTGAGTAACCAATGTTTAAGAAGATAAAGAGTCGAGGGGAAAAAATGAAATACAAGAAGAGAAAGAAGGGAATGGACAAAGATGAAATATTTTTGCAAAGAGAAGGGACACTTAAATTTGAGACTATGGAAAAGTGGAACCAATGGGCAAATGAAGTATCTGAAACTTAGATTTTCTCTTTTTTTTATTAGTTTATTTATCTTTATATTGTGCTTATGAGTGTTTTCCCTATATGTATGTAAATGGACCATGTGTGTGCAATGATGGTGGAGGCCAGACAAGGGCAGCAGATCCCCTGGAAGTGTACTTACAGACAGTTGTTAGATACCATTTGGTTGCTGGGAACTGAACCTGGGTCCTCTGCAAGAGCAGTCAGTGCTCTTAACCGCTCAACCATCTCTCCAGCCCCCTTAGATTTCTTAAGTAGGAAAGTTCTCTGGAGGAGCTTAGTTCCTCTTAGAGGATTTTCAAAGTTTTACATTGGGGAGTGGGCCTGTAGTTGGGGTCCAGGTTTGAGACAGGATCTCCCTGTAGACCAAGCTTACCTTGATGTTACAGAGATCCATCTGCCTCTGCCTCTGCCTCTGCCTCTGCCTCTGCCTCTGCCTCTGCCTCTGCCTCCCAAGTGCTGGGATTAAAGGGGTGGTCCATCTCACTTACTGTGTTTTTAACCAGTCACCATAGGTAACTCAATAGTAGTGAGTAGCAAATGGTATTTGTAGAGAAAAAGGAACTCACCCTCTATAATGGACTTTCTCCCATTTCAAAGAGAAAAGAGGAGTGTCTTCCTGCAACCAAGTATATAAATCTTCACTTCTGTTTAAAGATGAAAAGTATCTCTTTTCCCTTGAAAAGAAAAGTCCTTTCACCTAGCTTCCCAGTACTGTTATCTTTATTTCTCAGGGTCTTCTTTCTTTTCAGGGTTTTTTTCTTTTTTTTTTTTTTTAAAACGTTATGTTTCCCACTACCCAGATAAGGTGGCTCACAACACCTGTAACTCCAGCTCCAGGGGGTCTGGCACCCTCTTCTGGCCTCTGTGGCCACCTGCATACAATCATGAAGACATACTCCTAACCTCTTAACCACTCATTCGTCTCTCCAGCCCCCAAGACACTTTTACATCCTCATTTAATTTTTTTATGTATATGAGTTTTTTTAATATTTTGTTTTATTTTTATTTTATGTGTATGAATGTATTGCCTGCATGTATGTGAGTGCACTCATGTCGTGCAGTGCCACAGGGATCAGAAGAGGGCTTTGGATTCTCCTGGAACTGGAGTTAATTAAGGATGGTTCGTAGCCACCATGTGGGTGCTGGGAATTGAACCTGGGTCCTCTGCAAGAGGAGTCAGCGCCCCCAACCCCTGAGCCATTTCTCCAGCACCAATACATGAGGTTTTTTTAATGTGTATGTTTTGCCTGCACCAGGTGCTTGTAGTGCCCACCAGAAGAGGGCGGTCAGATCTCTAGAAACTAGAGTTACTAATGGTTATTAGGCACCATGTGGATGCTAGGAACAGAACCATGGTCCTCTGCAAGAGCAGCACATGTTCTTAACCACTGAGCCATCTCTCTAGTCCCTGCATTTTAAATTCTTGCAATATGACTTCTTTGTGCCATTCTAGAAATACATAAACATACTTTAGCTGCTAAAAATCACCCCCACGCACCCTTTAAGACATACACTTTAAAAAAAAAAAAGTGTATGTCTTGCCTACATGTACATATGTGTAATGGGTGCCTGGTGCCTAGGAGCCATCAGATTCCCTAGAACTTGAGTTAGATGTTTGTAAGTCACCATGTGGGTGTTGGGAACTGAGCCATCTTTCCAGCCCTCCCCCCTCCCCTTTTTTTTTAAAAAAATTGCTTTCGAGCCACATCTCAGTCTCTTTTTAGGCTGGCTTCTTTGACTAACCTGCTACTTAAATATTCGAGTTCCTTCTATATGATCTTTTCTTACTGTGTACTTTTGGTTACAATTCTCTCTATAGTTATAATTCCCATTAACAACATATCAGTCTCTTTGAAGTACCAGATCTGTACACAGTGGTTGAATATACTTGTTTGAGCCAAATATATCTGGAATTGGGTCTAATTCTGTACAACCAGAGCTGAGTGCCTCATCTTTCATCTTATCTCCACATACACATACCCAGGCTTAAATATGTTTTTCTTCAAAGCCTGTCTAAATAGTTTCACCTGTCCATTTTATAACATCCCTGGTGTCACCCTTCTAGTCCAGGCTATCTCTGTTATCATCTCTTAACTGGTGTCACTGATTTCAGTGCCTTGTTAACCAGTTCCCATAGTGTAATCTTTCTAAAAATGTAAATCAGATTGTTTAACTCCCCTCAAAATTAAATAAAATAGGCAAAATTACTTTATACTGAGACTAATGTCCAAACAAGGTCACCCTTGTCCCATGAACCAGTTGCTCTTTGCCCATCCTTAAATTTCATCTCAACACTTCTCACCACTTTCCAAAGTTACAAAATTTATGATGGGTTTCTGTCCTTTGTTCCCTTTTTACCTCCAAACCTAAGGCTTCTCCTGTCATCATAGGAATTACTTCTTACTATATTTATGTGTATTATTTGCTGCTGAGTAATGCTATAAGTATAGAAATTTTATTTTGTCCATCCTCATACCACCAAGCCTAGTATATAAAACATACTCAAAACAATTTGTTGGGTGAGAAAAATAGTCAAGACTCTGGGTTAAGAATCAGAGGAGTAGCTGAGTGTGGTGGTATGAGCCTTTAATCCCAGGTCTCAGGAGGCAGAGGCAGGCAGATCTCTGTGAGTTCGAGGCCAGCCTGGTCTACATAGTGAGTTCGAGGCAAGTTGGGGCTACAGAGGAGCTAGATTCTTTTTGGGTATCAGTCTCTGACTTCATTTTCTTTTCTGTGTATGTGTGTGTATATATGTTTGTGTAGGTGGCTGCCCATGCTGTGGAGGCCAGGGTTTGAATTCCAGTGTCTTCTATTGCTGTTGTTTTTCTTTTGAGAAAGTCTCACTGAATCTGGAACTCACCAGTTGGCTAGACTGGCTGGCCAGCAAGCCCTGGTGATCTGCCTCTCTCCAAAATTCTCCCGACACCAGTGTTAGGGTTACAGGAAAGCTCCACCATATCCTGTTTTTTATGTGGGGATCTGAATTCAGGTCTTCATGGGAGGCATTTTACTGACCAAGCCATCTCCCCAGCCCCTGTCTGTCATTTTAGATAGAGGGCATCCTGTGCCTCTGTTATGTTTTATGCAGAAGGAATACATTTAGTCAAGTGGTGGTGCATGATTGTAATCCAGTTGCTGAGGCAAGGGTTCAACACCTGCCTGTGCACATAGTAAGACCCTCACTTTAAAAAAAAAGAAAGAAGATACTTTTTTAGGCACCTGCCTTCCAAGGAAATTTTGACTATTATAATTGTATTGCTTGTGAAATATCAAGATGAGTGTTCATTTAGTAAAGAGAACTCATGAAACAGGCTGTAATCAAAGCTCTGATGGGACTGTCTGTGAACACAACTGTTTTGTCACTGAAACAAAAAGGTGGTTGTGGTTGTGATACATGTTTAGTTTTCCAGGAAAATTTAATAAGACAAAGGAAAAACTGCAGCTGCTAAAAGCATAAGTAGCTAAAGAAATGAGCTAATTTCTGCTGCTCCATGTGTGTTTCTTAATCATTATGTGCATTAGGCAACTGATCATAGTATGGACAGAAAAATTAAGGTCCCTCTTTCTATTATAGACATTAAGATAGATTTTTAAAGCTAAGCACTGTTGAGCTCAAAGTATTATACTTTCATCTCAGCACTAAGAATAACAACTGTAAACCCAGCAGCTGCTTTAACTGGCTGTTCTTCTGAAACCTGAACTGCTGCCATAAAAACAACTTTGGTGGAAACTTTCCTGCAAACAATTTTTCCCAAGATGAGTAGAAGATGAGTGGAACTCTGGTTCTAAAACAAGGAAACTAATCACTTGCTTTAAGAACAAGCAACTGTTTTAGAGTATTTTTTGATAATGGAGTGCCGTAGGTCCATGTGAATTTTACTTGCCAAAGGGTGAGTGTCACTTCTTTTTACTTTTTTTTATTATTTTTATTTTATGTGGATGCATGTATTGCCTGCATGTAGGTAAGTGCACCCGTGTTGTACAGTGCCCACAGAGGTCAAAAGAGGCTGTCAGATCCCCTGGGATTGGAGTTACCAACAGTTGTTAGCTGCCATGTGGGTGCTGGGATTCGAACCTGGGTCTTCTGTAAGAACAACCAGTGTTCTTAACCGTTGAGCCATCTCTCCAGCCCCTATTTTTACTCTTAATTCATTAACTTTCTGTATTAGTTTGTTTCTCCATTGCTGTGACAAAACACTCTGACCAATACCAACTTGGGGAGGAAAGAGTTTATTCAGCTTACATCTCCCAGGTCTCAGTTCATCAGGGAGCCCAAGGTAGGAACTCAGGGCTCTTATGCAACACAGGCCCACCTGCCCAGGGGTGGCACCACCCACAGAGGGCTGGGCCCTCCCACATCACTCATCAAGAAGATGCCCCTCAGGCATGGCCACAGGCCAGTCCAATAGAGGCAATCCCCCAATTGAGGCTCCCTCAACCCAGGTGTGTCAAGTTGACACTAAAGGTATCCAGCACACTTTCTCAGCATAAAAACTAGAGCACTGATTTATAATCCCAGCAGTCACAGGCTGAGGCAGGAAGATTGCAAGCTCTAAATCAGTCTGGACTTTATATAGAAAATATCCAAAAATAGTTTAAATTAAAATTTCAGTACATTAATTATGTTAACCATTGGCTTTTTTTTGTTTTGTTTTGTTTTTTTGCGTTTTGATTTTGAAACGGGGTCTCTTGTATCCAAGGCTGACTTAAAATTACCATGTTCAAGACCCAGGTTGGCCTTAATTCTTAATCTCCTTCCTCCACTTCCCAAGTGCTGAGATTACATTTATGTGCCACCACACCCAGCTTCCTAATAGCTACATTTCTAGTGCTCAGCTAGTCAAGTGTGTCTGATGACTGCCATTTTGAACAGCACAAATAAAGAACATTTCCTTCACTGCAGAATGCCTAATTAGTGTTGCATCCAAATCATCCCTGGTAATTAATCTGTAAGAGGCAAGTTAAGAGCAGGGGCTCAAGATTCACCTGGTTCTAAATTGGGATCCTATCTATAACACTGTGTGATCTTAGGTAATTGCCTTAACTCTTATGTGATATTTTTGTCATAATGTTAAATGAAGATAAGAGCAATATTTAGAGCTGGATGTGATGCCACTTAACTGTAACCCCAGCACTCAGGATGCTGAAGCTGGAGGGTGGATTTGAGGCCAACCTTTGCAAGACTATGTCATTCTTATATAACTTTGCAGAACTCTTACTCTAGTAGGTTTCTGTGTATGTATTCTTTAGAATTTTCTATATGTGAAATTATGTTACAGATAGTTTCAAATTTATCCATTGTGTAAGCCTTCTGTTACCTTTTCTTGCTTAACTGCCCCGCATAGAATTTCCAGTACTATGTTGAATAAAAAAAGAAATGCTGCTGGCTTTGGTGTCGCACACCTGCCTTTAACCTTTGCACTTGAGAGGCAGAGTGTTCTGGTTTATTTCTCCATTTACAGTGACAAAATACTCTGACCAATAACCAACTTGGGAAGAGTTTATTCAGCTTACATCTCCTGGGTCACAGTTCATCAGGGAGCCCAAGGGCAGGAACTTGGAGGCTGGAGCTGAAGCACAGGCCATGGAGAAACGCAGCTTACTGGCTTGATTCCCTGGCCCATGCTCAGCCTGCTTTCTTATACAACACAGGCCCCCCTGCCCAGGAATGGCACCACCCACAATGGGCTAGGCCCTCCCACATCACTCAGTGATCAAGAAGTTGCCCCACAGACATGGCCACAGCCCAGTCCAATGGAGGCAGTTCCCCAGTTGAGGCTCCCTCAACCCAGGTGTCAAGTTGACAGAGGCGGGTAGGCCATCCTGGTCTACATAGCAAGTTTCAGCCCAGCTTGGGCTACAGGGAAACCCTATCTCAAAAAAAAAAAAAAAAGCTGAGAGTGGACATCTTTGTTGATTCATATGGGGGAAATTTTTAATATTTCAACATTAAATATAACCTTAACTGTTGTTTTCATAGATGTTCTTTATAAGGTTAAAGAAGTTTCTGTTTGGTGCTGGAGAGATGGCTTAGTTAACCACTAAGAGCACTGGACTGCCCTTGAAAGGACCAGGGTTTGGTTCCCAGGGTTTGGTGTTTGCAGAGGCTAAAAGAGGGCATTGGATCCCCTGGAACTGAGGTTAAGGCCAACTATTGGCATAGGTGTCATGTGGGTGTTGGGAACCCTCTGCAATAGTAGCCAGTGCTGTTAACTTCAAACCGCCTCCCTACTTTTTTTTGAGACAATGAGACAGGGTCTTACTCCGTAGCCTTGCTTGGCCTAGAAGTCAATGGGTAGACCAGGCCACCCTCAAACTCACAGAGACCTACCTGCCTCTTCCAAGTCCTGAGATTAGAGTATGCCACCGTGCCTGGCAAGAATTTTTATATCTGTGTTCTTAAAAGATACTGATCTTCAGTTACTTGTATTGCCTTTATTTTTTATTTCAAGGTGTTAGTCCAAGGATGATTTCTGATATCTATTAAATGTAAGTCCCTTTTTTTCCCTCCACAGAAAATGATCCACAGTCTGTTTCTCATAAACTGTTCAGGTGACATATTTCTAGAGAAGCACTGGAAGAGTGTTGTGAGCCAGTCTGTCTGTGACTATTTCTTTGAAGCTCAGGAGAAAGCTGCTGATGTTGAAAATGTACCACCTGTCATTTCAACACCTCACCACTACCTCATCAGTATCTACCGGGATAAACTCTTCTTTGTGTCTGTCATACAGACTGAAGTGCCACCTCTCTTTGTAATTGAATTTCTACACCGAGTTGCTGACACTTTTCAGGTTAGTATCTATCAAACCATTCTAAGTGAATGACTGAAGTTAGTCGAAGGAGGGACATAGGATCATATTTGTTCATTACTTAGATGTGTACTGTCTGTTTTTAACTAAACATAATCTCATAAATTTCTGTGGAGCACAGTGATACACATTACTGCTCTGCTCATTGTTTTTTATATGGATGGCAAATCATGTCATCAGGAAACAATAGTGTCCTCTACTTAAAAACCTCATCCGAACGGTTTTATTGATTATGAGGTCTTCTACGTTTACATTTACTATTTTCTCTTGTTGTGATGAACAGGACAGAGAATTTGAAACACTGTGTTTGGGAATGGGTTAATGAGGGCTACTGAGGTTTATTAGCTTACATTCCAGCTTAAGGTTTCACTACTTTATGGCATAATATCTAATAAAAATTCAATTCAATATAAAAATACTAGGAAAATATTGAATTCAATTTTATGTCTTATAGGGTTTATACTGAGTACAATATTGTATAACTATTAATTGAACTGTGAACCTAAAAATTTACAGCCAATTTTGAAAGAGATGCATCTTTGCTCTGGAAATTGTTATTGAATATGTTGATGCTGTTGTAATGAAATGCTTCTAATCATGTGGTTATTAAATATTTTTTTAAAAAGAAAATGTTGAAGTGTTAGGACTTCAGAGAATTTTTTCCTGTTTTACATATTTCTAAGATCTTAAATCATGAGTTAAGCCATTGTAAATTACTCAGAACAAAAGGTATTTATGAATAAAATATGTGCCTTCATGCTCTTTGTTGTTCAATGTTGTGGATATTTTGTTAGGACTACTTTGGTGAGTGTTCAGAGGCTGCAATTAAGGATAATGTGGTCATAGTGTATGAGCTCTTGGAAGAAATGTTAGACAATGGATTTCCACTGGCTACTGAATCTAACATTTTGAAAGAACTGATTAAACCACCAACAATTCTACGTTCTGTCGTCAATTCTATTACAGGTATGAAAGATAAAAATACTGTACTGGGATCTGAATCATTAAAACTTATTGAACAACTCATTTTTTTATTATGATCTGACAGATTATTATGGTAGTCTAATTTGACCAAAATTAAAGTTATCAGTAATGCTAAAATAAATGTATTTCTCTATTTTTAATTTGTGTGTGTGTGCACATGTGCACACACACACATATGCCACAGCAAAAGTGTGGAAGCCAGATGACAATTTACAGGAATGCATTCCCCCCTTCTACCATGTGGATTCTAGGGATCAAACTCTGGTCTTTAGGCATGGCAGCAAGCACCTTTACCCACTCACCCATCTTTTTTCCATAAAAAATAAAAATAAAAAATAGATTTGATTGAGGTATGGTAGCTTACACCTACTGTCTTAGCACTTGGGAACCTCACCAGGGGAATTGCTATGAGTTCAAGGCTAGCCTAGGCTACAGAGTAAGGCCCAGATACATACTTCTTTTCCCTGAAAGAAGCTTAAGTAACAACTCCTGGACTAGGGCATAGCTCAGTGATAGAACATCTGCCTAGTGCTGGCTTCAATCTCCAGTACTTCAAATAAAGGAAAAATTAAAATAAGAGGAAGTAAGAACTTAGTCCATTTGTGAGAACTGATGCATAGTGGGCCTTATACTTCTGTTATAAACTTCCATTTGGGTTTAATTCTGAACCATAACTAGAAACTAAGTAGAAAGTCTTTAGAGGAAGATTTCTATGAAATGTTACATGCCACTCCACTGTCTAGATTGTAAACTGTTCTCCAGTGCATTGACCTAAAAATAGGTAAGAGAGACATACAAGCCAAAGATCCATCCAGCAGCTCTAGTTCTTTCTGAAGGCTTGAGTTTTACGGAAATTCAAGTAGACCGTATGCTCCCAAAATTTACACTCTGGAGGGAAATGTTTAAATACCTAAACTTTATTTTAATTTTTTTAAATGTGTGTGAGTGTTACGCCTGCAAGTGTACCCATGATGTGGAGGGCCCACAGAGGACATCAGATCCCCTTGAACTGGTTGTTAGCCACCATGTGGATGCTGGGATTTGAACCTAAGTTTTACACAAGAATAGCCAGTGTTCTTAACCACTTTCTAGCCCCTATTTTTAGTTTTCTCGGGGCACAGAGTCTTACTATATAACTCTGGCTGGCCTGGAACTTGCTATGTAGATGAGGCTAGCCTCAAACTCACAGAGACCTGTCTGTTTCTGCCTCTCTAGCACCCCTACGCTCATGTTGAAAGAGCAATTGAAAGAGCAATTCCATACTTCATGGACAATGTACTGTGACACTGGAAAGCTCTCACAGTATTAAATAGGGGGGGAAAAAAGCACAAAATCATGAAAAGTTATATATAAAAATTTACAAAGGCAAAATGCATAAAATATTTACAGTAATTATCTCTAGCTAAGAAAATACAGATAATCTTTATTTTCGCTTTTTTAAAAAATATGTGTATATGTATGTGCGTGGAGTAAGTATGTGTGGTGTATGCACATTGCGGGGGGGGGGTGTCCACTCAGTCACTTTCACCTTATTCCTTTTTTGGGACCAGGTATCACTGAACTTGGAGCTAGGCTGCTAAACAGCCTAGCCATCCTTCTGTCTCTATCCCTCACAGCACTGGGGTCACAGGTAGGCATGTAGCCACATCCAGCTTTTTACATGGGTGCTGAGATCTGAACTCTAGTCCACATGTTTGCACAGCAAGCACTCTCACCCACTGAGCCATCTCTGCAGCCCACTTTATACTTTTTAATTTTATAAAAATATATTTAATAGAAAATAATATGTAAAACTATAATAGAGGGTCATAAGGTAGTATATTATAAAGTATACGTGAGTGGTTCTGGCAGGACATTGTGGTGCATACCGTAATCCCATCTACTAAGGAGGCTAAAGCAAAAGAATTCTGAGTTCAAGGTCAACCTGGGCTACAAAGTGAGACCTTGTGTTAAAAAAACCAATAAAATACATCTGTGAATATTGTTCAGTGGTAGAGTCTTGCCTATCTTACTAAGGCCCTGAGTCTATTCTCTACCACAAACACATCAACATACCAAAAGAATGATTCAATGGATGGAGTGATCTTTTTAAAATTCTTACCAGATGGCCCAAACACATAGCCCTGAAGAATCAGTCGAATATGGAATGTAATAGAGAAATAAGAGTGTTTATGAGGAAAAACCCTCATGAAATAAAGACTGAGCTGAATTAGCCCCTCTAGCAGAAGTAGAACTGTTTGTAATTGAACAAACGCTAAGGCAAAAGGGTGAAATTGGACTGAGTGTCATAGCATATGCCTATAGTCTTAACTGTATGGGAAGCTAAAGTGGGAGAATCAAGGAAGACAATATCAACATAGGCAACACAGCAGTAGTACCCCCATCTCAAAAAATAAAAGTCCTTGGATGCTAGGCTAAATAGTTAACTTTTTTGTTGATCAAGACCAGTCCTTGTCCCTAAACAGTCATCTTTTCTCATAAAGCAAGTGGAGAATCACTAAATGTTTTTGATTAGGAAGATAACATGATTAAAGCAGTATTTTTCAAATACTCTTTTGGAAAGTAATGGGCTAGAGACAAGAACACCAACCATAAACAGAGCATAAAATTGTTAGCCAGACATAGTGACACATGCCTGTAATCCCAGCACTTTGGAGGCTGAGGTAGGAGGATTTCAAGTTCCAGGCTTGCCTAGACTACATATATATTTGTCTTTAAAAAGAAAATTCAGTCTGGATTTGAACTCACTATATTGTTATATAGCCAAAGATGGTACTTTAAACTTCTTGCCTCCACCACATCCCAAGTGCTAGGAATACTGTGCATGCTAGGTAAACATCTACCAATTGACCTACATCCCCAGCCTTACAACTATTTTATGTTTGATTAGGTTTGAGGTATGTGTTATGTTTCATGTTTTCTTATTTTGTTTTTGGAGAGAGGGTCTCACTGTATAATAGCTCAGGTTGGCTTTAAACTAACAATCCTCCTGTCTTAGCCCTATTGGGATTATAGGCTTGAACCACCTCCTTTGCAACTTTATTTTTTATTTACTAAGGGTTTTTTGTTGTCTTTTGGGATAGGGTCTTGCTATGTAACCCTGACTGGCCTGGAACTTACTATGTTGATTGACCAAGCTGGCCTCAGACCTCAGACTTGTTGCAGCCCTCCTATCTCTGCCTTCTGGATTACAGATGTGAGCCACTGTGCCCAGCTTTGCAATGATATTTTAAAGTACAACCAAAAGAAAACAGGATTATCAAAATAGGAAAAAAATGATAAATGCTACTTATTTATGGCTGAAATATTTAAAGGACTATGCTAAAATGTTAGTAGTGGCAATTAATTTTGGTAGTAAGCAGATTTTTGTTTTGTTTTATAAATTTGCCATATTTTTTGTTCAGCATGTGCTACTTTTTAATTGGAAATGTAAATTAAGCAAAATGTTAAGTCACAGTTGAAAGATTTCTGTTTTGATAACCATATATGTATTAGTTTACCAGAAAATTAACCAAATATTGAACATTAATCATATTTTCACCAAAAGGGTATACTGACCTTAAGAAAGGTGTTCACCTCTGTTGCTGCCACTTCCATTGTGGACCCCCCTTTATGCCGTGTTGGGATTGAACCCATGGCCTTGCATATGCTAGGCAAACACTCTGCCATTGAGCTACATTCTCAGTGCTATGCTCACATTAAAAATGGAAATAAGTTGCCAGGTATGGTTGCACATGCCTTTAATCCCACCACAGGCGGATCTCTGTAAGTTCAAGGCCAGCCGGTCTACATAACGAGTTCTAGGCCAGATGGGCCTACAGGAAGACCCTGTCTCAAAAATAAACAGAAAAAAAAAAGGGGAGGGGACTAAGCCAAAGTATGTCCTTCATCTAGTTACTCCACTAAACCTATCGTGGCAGCATCTCATAGAATTCCTCTGTGTACCAAAGAGCCAGCTTCTTACTGTGTATTCACAGTAAGTTTTCAGCAGGTTTTGAACTAGCCAGGCTTCCACCCACCCACCCTCACCCCCACCCCATTGGTGGCAGCAGGATGCGATTCTGTAGTTGAGTCATTGGAATTACCTTGCCAACACATAGGAAGCAAAAGATAAATAAATGCTTTTTATCTTGGTTTAGCAGGTAGACAGAGGAACATATGGCCTATTTCTGTCCTCTAGAAATTTGATTGTGCTGGTTTAGAATATGTCTCTAGCAATTCTAGAGCAGTGGAGAAAATCCCAAACATTATAGTGGAAGCTAAAGAACTGTTTTGGGTTTTCCCCCCTTTTTGATAATAGCTTTTCTGATAAACATTTTACACATCAGCTTTGCTTTCATCTTTTCCTATTTCTAGGTAGTAGTAATGTTGGGGACACACTCCCCACTGGGCAGCTGTCCAACATCCCATGGCGTCGGGCAGGAGTAAAGTATACAAACAATGAGGCCTATTTTGATGTAGTTGAAGAAATCGATGCAATTATAGACAAATCAGGTAATTGTGTGCATGTGGTCTTATGGAGAAAAAAAAAACAAGTTGAATAGAAAATTAAAATCTGTTGGCATGGTGCTTTTCAGCAGAAAAACATTCATTTTTCCAAAGATTTACAAATCTGTTTATTTTGCCCAGAGGTTACAAATAATTATCGTAACTACTAGTTGAGATATGCCAAACACTTGTAAATTGGGAATCCCTCTTGCAGTTTATTCATTCTCACAGTTCTGCATGTAACCATGCTTTTGCTGCTATTCTGTGTTCAGTACTTGAGGCAAAGGCCCTTTCTGATTATTTTTTAACCACAGAAAACAATGGTGCTCAATATTAGAATCATAAGTTTTATTATTAACATCTAATCTTATCCTCACATACATAAAGCAGCTGAGACTAGGAAGAATTAAGTAACCTACTCAACATCACACAGCTAGTTGATGTGTAGGGATGACTTACTGTGAATTACAGCTGTTGTCTTCGGTGAGGGCTCTTTCCTTTAGACCATTCAGTGTTACAGAATAATAGATCATAGCTCCTATTTCTTAAAAGTTAACTTAGTAACTTAGTTCATTTCATAAGAAACAGTCTCATTTTTAAATTCTATTGAAAATACTTTAAAGTTTTGTCCAAGCAGTCTTAGAAAATTGATTCTATAAAGAAAACAAGTTTGATTTTCCTTAGAATTATCATACTCTACCCAGTTGGGTGTAGGCCTAGCACTCAGTGGAAAAGCTGTCTGAACTAGTGTAATAGATCCTCTCTCCAGTGACCTGTTAAAAGGTGCAAAGCTTTGGTAAGTCACACCCAGATAGCATCTCCTTTGCTCCAAGTACAGTTTTAGCTCTAGTAAAGACCCAGATTCCATTGAAATTATCACGCCTTTTATTTTTCTCTTTAGGATCTACAGTCTTTGCAGAAATTCAGGGGGTCATTGATGCCTGCATTAAGCTTTCTGGAATGCCTGACCTCTCTCTCTCTTTCATGGTAAGTTTTGTATTTCTTATAGTTCCTTTCACACCTAATACATTTGAAGTACTCAGTGATAATTACTGAGATGTTTGTGTCTTTAATTTCATTTTATGTTTGTGTTTGTGTTGGCATGCATATGCTACATTATTTGTGTGAGGTCAGAGAACAGCTTGCAGGAGTTAGTTCTTTCCACCATATGGGTCTTTGGGATCGAACTATTGAGCCACATCTCTCCAGCCCATACTCTTCTATCTTAGATTACAAAGGATTGTCTCAGAAATATTAGCACAGCTTCCCAAGACAGTAGCTTAAATTTTGAATATGGCCTTTATGGCAAGGTTGAAGAGAGGTCTTTACCAAGTGTGCTAGAAGTGGTTCAACATTGGCTAGCTGGCTTCTGTAAGTCCCAGTGTCATTTTTACTGAATATTTGCTTTGTTCCTATAAAAGGGCATTGGTATTTCGTATCATTTTAGATTCAGCATGACACATTGCTAAGAATAGCTAAGAGAAATGAGCTCTGGTTCTATTTACCAGTTTCTCTTGACTTTTTTAAAAAATATTTTATTATTTTTATTTTATGAGTATGCGTGTATTGCCTCCATGTACGTGAGTGCACCTGTGTCATGCAATGCCACAGAGGTCAGAAGAGGGCTTCGATTCCCCTGGAACTGGAGTTAAGGATGGTTCATAGCTGCCATGTGGGTGCTGGGAATCGAACCAGGGTCGTCTGCAAGAGCAGTCTGTGCTCTTAACCACTGAGCCATCTCTCCAGCCCCTCTCTTGACTTTCTTGAACCTCATTTTTCATCTGTGGAATGAATGGAAATAATGCTACTTTCTTTTTCTCTCTCATAATAAATTTTAAATAAAATGTATATAAGATCTTTATAATCTTTAAAAGCTTATGAAACTACAAGGTCATACTGATAGAGTCATTTTTTTTTTTTTTAAGGCAGAGTATTACTTTGTAACCCTTACTGGCCTAGAACTTGATAAGTAATAAACCTGACCTCAAACTCACAAGAAATCCATTTATCTCTGCCTCCCAGTTGCCAGGATTAAAGGCATGTGCCTCCATGATGAACTGTAATTAATTCTTTTTTGTTGTTGTTTATTTTTATGTGTATGAGTGTAATGCCTATGTGTAAGTAGGTATACCTGTTTCATGCAGTGCCCACCGAGGTCAGAAGAAGGTGTCATATCCCCTGGAACTGGAGTTGTAGTTGTTAGCCACCATGTGGGTACTGGGATTTGAACCCTGGTCTTCTGCAAGAGTGGCCAGTGTGCTTAACCACCAAGGCATCTCTCCAGCCCCCATGATAAATTCTTGCACTGCTTTTACAGTGACTGCTTTTTTTTAAGGGAGCATATTAATTTTTCATACTATGTGAATACTGTCATCATATTCATCATACTCTATAAACACAGCTTTCTGTTTTCCTGACAGAACCCAAGGCTACTAGATGATGTCAGCTTTCACCCATGCATCCGGTTCAAGCGTTGGGAATCTGAAAGAGTTTTGTCATTTATTCCTCCAGATGGAAATTTCAGACTTATATCATATCGTGTCAGCTCACAAAAGTAAGTTGAAGCATCAACCAGAATCTGCCATCAGATTAATGTTTTGAACAGAGTTCACCTTTCAATGTTTCAATTAGGCAGTTTGGTGCTTGAACTTGTCATTGCTTACTTTAACCATGGTTCAGTAGGAGACCTAATAAGAACTGGCGATCATGTGTGCCTAAAATTATCACTGTATCTTGAATGTAAAGTGTAGAAAACTAGTAAATGAGACTACAGAAGTCTGTATGAGTGAGCCTTTGGACTACCATTACATGGGCGAAACCATGAACCTGATACCTTCATTCTACCATGGTCTTTAAACTAACAGAAGATAAACACTGAAACTGTGTGCTTCAAGTCATTGTTCTCTGCGTTGAGCTTTGGGGTTTTGTTTGTTTTTAAGACAGTCTTGCTTATAACCAGGCTGGCTTCAAACTCAGTTCTCCCACCTCAGTCTCCTGGGTGCTGAGATTATAGATAGGTGCCACCACGCCCAGTTTTCATTGAGTTTTAAAAGAAAAATTTAGCATTGTTAGCTGTAGCTAACTTGTTCCTTCAAAATATCAGAAAGCATTTGGGCGACATAAAACTAAAAAGCAGTTTTATTTGGTATATAGTCCTGTGGCGGTTAGGGACAGTATTGGACAGTCTGGAATGGACTGTTTTCAGGCTACCTCTGGAGCTGTCTGGCACCTTTCATTATACATATATACATACATATATATATATGTATATATATATATTTGTATAAATATATATATATTTGTATCTTTGTCTCTTTGTCTTTTTAGTCTAGTGGCAATACCAGTGTATGTGAAACACAGTATCAGCTTTAAAGAGAACAGTTCTTGTGGCAGATTTGATGTAACAATTGGACCAAAGCAGAATATGGGGAAAACTATTGAAGGAATTACAGTGACGGTTCACATGCCAAAAGTTGTGCTGAATATGAACTTGACACCAACACAAGGCAGCTATACATTTGATCCAGTCACCAAGGTACAGCCACTTCAAATCAAGAGTGAGCAAGTGTTTCTGCAATCTTATTTTGTGGTTGGGGGTAGAGGGTAAGGAAAGCTGCTTCCTCATCTTTTTTACACATGCCTCTAGCTCAGCTTGTTCAGAGAACTGTGAAAGATGATTTTCTCTCAGCTCCCTGTTTCCTTATATAGAAAACCTGATTGTTTTCAACAGCAGAATAATCGAGAGCTTGAAAAATGAGGTGTAATTTTGAATAAACTTGGAGTGTTAAAGATTATTTAACCTAAGAAATCAACCCTCCCAAAGACCATATAAGTGCAGTAGCAGACTTCCAGATCCTTGGCCCTCCACCCCATTTAAGCCATAACAGCCTCACTTTCATCTGTTCAGCTTCCACATGGGGTTTCACTTGAACGAAGGATTCCTCTTGAACAAAAGATTCTATAGCTAAAAGTTGTAAAATACCAACATAAATCAGTTGTCTGTTCCAATATTCTCCTGTTTTCTAAGACACTGCTTCATTTTGTGTAGAAGTTTATGATGTCTTTTGACCCTGTCTTTGAGCATTTGTCTTTAACAAATTTTTCAGATCTTTATTTTTTGTCTTTTTAAGGTACTAACATGGGATGTGGGGAAAATTGCTCCACAAAAGCTCCCAAGTCTTAAAGGAATGGTAAATTTACAGTCTGGAGCACCCAAGCCAGAGGAGAACCCAAGCCTCAATATACAGTTCAAGATCCAGCAGCTTGCTATTTCAGGTACAGATAAGTTTGGTGCGTGTTTAGGGGTTGGGGAAAGAGTTTAGAAGAGTAACAGAATGCCATCCAGCAGCTCCCATTTGCCCTTTTTATGGTGCTGTAGGCACTAAGGATTTGGGAGAGCACCTTATACCATGCCATGCCCCTTTTACACACATGTCCTACCTTCATCTAAGCACCAAAGAAGTAGTGATTCATGTTCACAAACATTTTTCTGGCCACCCAGCATCTGAACTAAAACTGTCCCTCCCAGAGTATAAGTCATGAATGATAGAAAGCGGACATTGTTTCCAAAATGATGGGTGTTCATTGTCCGATTTACTGTATAGTGCCTATTGCTAAACAAATACTGTATTATTACTGGAATAGTAATAATTTTTTATATTCTTTTTGACACAGGCTTAAAAGTGAACCGCTTGGACATGTATGGGGAGAAATATAAGCCATTTAAAGGAGTCAAATATGTCACAAAAGCTGGAAAGTTTCAAGTGAGGACATGAGAAGAGGCCAGAATTCCTCAAGATCAGTTTGTTTTCAAGTGTCATTACAGTTTATTACTGTTAGGTACCAAGTGGGTGGGAATACTTATAAAGCATTTGTGTCAAGCTACACTGCTAACAAAATTGCTTAGTAATCAATGTAGGGTTCTTAAGGAGCTTTAAGCTAAGAAAACTTTTCTAAAGACTTATTTTGTATCTTTTCACTTAGGAAGTTTAAGGAGATGATTTCTTCCATAGGGGGCTACCAGCTGAATGCTGCACACTGTAACAGTAAAGACAGAAGGCTAAACTGATCTTATTCAGCAGTAGGAACTGTTTCTTCATCTGTGATGTGTCAGGTGCAGGCAAGATCACACCTTCTGATCTTAGCCATCTCAAATCAGTGTTGGTCCTAACAACAGAGGACGCCCCCCCCCCACCCCGCCCCAAGAAGTTTACAGAAAACTGCCTCTTCAAGTGTTTGCCTTATTCAGCTTTTCACTTGTGCCATTAAGCAAGCACTGTAGCAAAAGCCACTTCTACATGGCCCTGGCGGGAGCACTACTGCTCCATGCTCCATTCTCACTGTACTTGGTATTGTATTTTTTATAAAGATTTTTACGTAAAGCTCAGATTATGATTTACAAGGACCTTGCTGCAGTAAATATACCATCTCAAATTTTGTGCCACCAGTTCAGCTGTTAAGATAGCACAGTTAAAATCATTTGCATCAAAAGGCAAATACTTTATTAGGATAATAAAAGGAAACACTTTTTCTGTTTTTAGGAGGTTATTGAAAGCACAATACTTTGTGCTTTTAAGCAAACTGAAGAAGTCAAAGAGAAACAAGTGAAACCTTTGCCATCTTCATGTTCTATAAAGCTTTATCTAATGTCACTTAAACCTAGTTAGCCTGAAAGCCTCTTGTCCAAGTTCAGTAAAAGGAAAAAAAAAATGTGTCTGCTTCTCTGTTAATTTTTTAAATCTTTAATTCTTTTTTTTTTTTAATCTTTTATCTTTTTGTACTTAAATGGCTAAATTTGCCTATATCTTACCATTAGGGAGCGCACCTTTGCATATCATGTATATCCCAGGGCTATTGTGACAGACCCCTTCCTGAAACTTGTTGAAATTGTCACTGAAGCACTTGTGTGTCTACTGTATTGTGTACATGGAAAAACATGAGGCAGAAACAAAACCTTCAGTAATGCTTTGTGCCAGACTGATCTTCATGCTTGGAAAGGCAGTCCGTATGATTATCCTTTCACTCAGCCTCATTTGCTTGGAAGCCCTTGTGCAGTATTTGCCTCATTCAACATAAAGAAATGGAAGAAAGCTGAAAGTTGTGCTTGCTCTTCCTGTTTCCTTGTTTTTTCTTGTATTACTCGTTTTCTTCTCCTTGTGGCCCATTATTTTCTTTCATCTTTGCCTTATCATTCTAAAGCTATGTCTTAAACCATCGCTATTCAAGTGCTGATAGTATAGCCATTATGAAGTATTTTTGGTCTTTGATCTAATAAGACTTTTTTTCCCTGCAACTTCAAATAGAAATTTCTTACATAACCAATTTCAGATTAGCAACTTAATGTCAAAACATTGCCAAATATCTATCCCTTTTGCCTAAGATTGGTTTTCCAGTTATTTTTAATAGCGTGCTCTTCAGTGTTCTTACCTCAGAAAGTCAATTTTCTTTCTTCAGAATCCTTTATCTCAGCCATCCATGCCTACACTGTCCAACTTTTCTTCCCGTGCTGTCTTCTTTGTACATCCAAGAATGTATGCCGAGTCCCTTGCCTCAAGTCATTTTAACTAAAAAAATCCAAGCAGCTTTGTCCTGTCTATTAATTTGGTAGAATCTATTAAGTCCTTTCTCTAGCTCTGGCTATCAATAAAAGGATGAAAGCAACAAACGGATTTTTTTTTTCTTGTTGATGGAACATTCTCATATTAAGGCAGTGTTAGAGCGGACTGAACTGCATCAGATTTTATCACAAGGTGTGAGGTTGCTTGAAGCACTTCCAAGTGGTCCCTTCCTAAATTTAGCATATTCACAGCCCCTTTTATTTTTTTTAAGGTGTCCCCTTTCTGGCCACAGACTAAGTTACTTTTACCACTACCACTTACTAATACAGATCCATGACTACTCAGTAGTATTAAGACTTTTTTCAAACACAGAAGTCTACTCAATCCCAGAATACTCCATTTTTCTAAGTTCTTAAGGAATCATAATCCAAGAGCAAATGAAACATGCTTATTTTCCATTTGAAGGCGTTCCCATTTGTTTCAAGGGAATTCAGCTGATAGATTTGTTCCTAAAATAGTGCTACGAAAGAACCCTGGGAGTATGCTTGTCTTACTGTCCTTAGAAGCAACTGATTAAACTACAGTGTGGCAGGAAGACAGCACCAGTGAACACAGGACAGAAAGCAAAATGAGGCAGTGTTGGGAATCGCTGTGCTAATTCAGCATTGGACACAGGCTGGCATCTGCCTTTGGTTGGAAACTTTTCTGTTCAAGCAATGGTAAACACGCTTGCGAGCACTAAATTGTCACCCTTAATGTTACTTAACCTTTTTTTTTTTTTTCCCTACTTCTAGAAATTTGGGCAAAAACATGTTTTTATTTTAGTTGGTGCTTCCTTAAGACAACTGTGTCCCCAACAGCTAGTTCTGTCTCATAGCCCTGGTGGGTCCTGACAGCACTTTCTGTTCTAGGCTTTGGAACACACACACACACACACACACACACACACACACACACACACGCACGCACGCACGCTCTGACATTTCTGATTTTTACAACTTCAGCTTCTTAAGGGACAGCAGCAGTCTCCAGTAATAGCTAGAATCTTCTAGGATGAAAGACAACTTCAGCCAGGGTGACCCACATGTGGGCACGTTCTGCCCACTGGTAACTTTGTCAATTCTACTCCTTCTCAAGTACACTTCCCAAAGTTGTCTCTTATCACAGAGATCCTTATCAAGTAATACGCTGCTGTGGATTTCTAGAACCCTTTCAACTAGATTAAATAAAAATCTTTAGTTTCAAGACCTTAGGATTAGTTTCATTGACTGCTGTTCAAAAACAAGACTCTAACTTGTTTTAGGTAAAATAACATCCATCATTTAAAGCATTATTTATATAAATGTATTTTATTGTTTTGAACAGAAGAGGCAGAAAATATTTGCATATAATAAATCCTAGCTTATCGGTGTATTTTTTAGTGGTGGCATCTCTAAATCATGATTCAGGGACTTTTTTTTTTCTTCTTTTGCCTCATTGTATTGTAAGCACTGATATTAGAGAAAAGCACATCTGGCATAAGTGTAAACCAGTGTCTCAAAACACTGGAAGGACTTGGAGAGCAAACATTATTTTTCTTATTTCTTCTAAGTATCTTTAGTAAAACAAAAGGTGATCTTTGGCATAGATTCGTACGTTAAAGGCATTAATATTGCATTTATATCAGGTAAGCAACTATACAAATATACTGAAGGCCTTGAAAATAATCAGTTAAAATGAAAAAGGAAGCCTGAGTGTACAGGATCAACTTAAGATTTACACATTCACTATTGAGCTTTAACACACTGGTGGTGGGACGATCCAGGCAAAGGGTTTCACTCCTGCATTCATCTGCTGCTGGATTTGGTGATGTGGGGTTTCTTGTGCTGGGGAATGCTCAGACAGCAGAATCAATGCAAACCAGGGAAAGATGCCTTCTCTCTGACTTACCCAATAAAAAACATACATTTATGATAATTAAACATACTCAACTGCTCTTGAATAATATATTTAGGAGAGGTTTAAAGGAATTGGGAATTCTATCGGTAGTTCTTACTGGTTCATCCATCTGCAGCACCAGAATTTGCAAGTGTCATTTTCCCTTAAATAAGAAGCATTTAGAAGCATTTTTCAGGCAGGACTACCTTTCCATTAAAGTCTCTTAAGGGAAAATAGTAAAAAGTCCTAGTTCTTTTGTTTGTATGTTTGTCTTTTTGAGACAGGGACTCCCTGTAGCCCCAGCTGGCCTGAACACACTGGCCCTGAACTCACAGAGATCAGCTTGCCTCTGCCTCCCAAGCTTTGGGATTAAAGGCGTACACCCCCACACCTTGCTGCAGGTATTAATTCTTAGAACTCAGTTTTAAAAGGATTTTTCAAAGTTACAAACAAAGGCAGGTATGGTAGCAGGAGCCTGTAGGCTGGTGTAGATGGATCACTTGAACCAGAGTTCCAGATGAACCTGGACAGCATAAAGAGATCCTATCTCAAAAATGGGGGGGAGGGAATCAGAATTACAAACACATACCTACATATCTTTAAAGTGTTTAAGAAGCATAGCGAGGAAGACTATCAAAGCCCAAGATGATTTGGTTAAAAGTAAATGCAGCATTTCAGCTCAGAAATAAAATGGAGAGCTAAGAATGAAAGGTAAGGTCTTAGGACAGACCTCTACAGGCAGTGACAGCATGGAAAGCCTGGGAGTGGCCCCATTGGGAGGAAGAGTAGGTCACACCCCAGTTACTCTGCCCCTCCAATGGCAGAAAGCACCAGGACGCTGTGTTTGTGGGATGATTGATTGCCTTGGCAGCCAAGCGAGGCAGGAGATGAGGCAGGAAGTTTCCTTCACACAGATACTGCTTAGGGACATGGTAAAGACAATCATTTGCTTTCCTCCTGATAGTGAAAATTGGTTTTACACTGAGAAACTAGGATTACATGGTGGAAGAGCAGGAAATGAATCCAAGCTACACACACTGGAGCTCCCAGAATCTACTTTTTCCTGCAACAATGTAGCAATCACTTCTACAAAAGAGCCAGGTAGCACAGCCCAGGGAAAGAAGGCAGGGTCATCAGCAACATGAAAAACCCCAAATAACTTTTGGAAGCATGGTTATTTTTAACTGACCTGCCTCAGCCCTAGGTCTTAGAAGCCTGAAGGGGAAGATGTTCCCCAAGGGAGCAAGGGACAGAGCAGAGCATCTGGCTAGTGTTCACTCTTACATTCTGAGCTTACATAAAAATCCATGGGCTAGAAAACCAGTTCACTTATTGGGAGACTGTGTGCACAAGAATAACTGAGAGTACAGGATTTACACGGGGACACATTTCAAAGTGCCCATGATAGAACAGTAAATGTTTTCTGTGTGAAGAGACCACCACTCCTTTCTGGTTTAGTAGGCCAGTAGGTGGCTTTTCCATCCCCAGTAGACTCTGGATGGCTCCTGGAACTCAGATCTTTTTCCTTCTTTTTAGCAGAGGTTTTAAGTACCAGCCAGGTTTGGCTAGGTGCCTACTGGTACCAAGGAGTCTTTCTAACCCAGCGCAGAGTAAATCCAGCATCTGTTCGAATCTTGATAGAAGCAGCTTCTGCTTCTCGCACGGTCTCCTTCACAGACTGCATGAGGTTCTGGGCATTGTGAACCAGCATCTCTGTGGCCTGTGATGAAAGAGAACTCTTGTTATTATGGTTCCTGATGCAGTGCTGCCTCCAAAATATGGTGATATCAGGACTAGAGTTGACTCCACCTGCTTTGGTATCCCCAGTGTATGCTTGCACCACATCACTGATTGTACACTGTGTCCTTATATGGTCTATAATACGTATTCTTGATCTTCGTCTTTAGTTCCTTCAGGACTCTTGCTGTTCCCTCTACCTGCAATGGATCTCCCTCCAGAGTCCTTCAGGTCTTTGCTTAGCTGACACCTTGGGGAAGCCTTTCCCTTTCATGTTCTGTTAAATCACAACTCCTAACATTCTTCATTTCTAATTTTGTTGCGATGGCGTATATTCTACTTAGATTGTTTGGGGGAAGTGTTTATATTGTTTTCTTGGTATCTAAGTTAATTTTCCAAACCCACAAACTTACAAGGATCTTGTTGGTATTCTAGTCACAGAACGAAGACAACTTAATTATTTACGACAGTAATTCTTAACAAATTTAAGTCATATATCCTTTGAGGATTTAATGAAAGCTGTGGGTTCTCCCCAGAAAAATGTTTATAAATAATTGGGGGGGGGCTCTTTTTGAGACAGGTCTCCCTATAGCCCCAGCTGGCCTAGAACTTGCTACACAGACCAGACTGATCTCAATCTCACAGAGATTTGCCTGCCGCTGCCTCACAAGTGCACCACCACATCTACCTGAGTGAATTTTATACATGAATTGCTGGGGGCTCTGAGAGAATACCTATAGGGTCTCAGGCCCAGACAGGTTTAGAGTCTTGCCAGCTGAACTCACATATCCAACTCAAGACCTCTCTCACTTGTATCTCATGCTTGTTTCATTCTACCACACTGTTAGTTTCTGCCTTTTTTATTTAATGGAGCACAGACAGTACCAAGATACATTTTGTTAAGCAGTTAACTATACAATTTAGCCTGAATCTCAGTCCTCTCCTTCCTTTCCCAACGTCCTACCTACCTTTAGGCAGAAGATAGTAACACTAAGGAAAACAACCTAGTACCTGTTTACACTGTATAGAAGTTTGGGATAAAGATAAAGTTCACATGGTATGGGAAAAGGAGAAATTAGTGGGAGCTGTTGGATTAAAATGATGGTAGTAAAAACAGCAATGATGGCACCAGAAAGAGTAGCCTCCGTGTTTCCTCTACAGTGCCCTTGTCTCTGTCTAGAGGTGAGAAACACTGGTCTCCCAAATTATTTGTGAGTCCCCTAAGGGGAAGAGAGTGTCTCTCATTTAAAAAACATTTGGTAGGGGAGTGTTGAGACAGGGTCTCCCTATAGCCCCAGCTGACCTGGAACTCGCTGTGTGTAGATCAGGCTGGCCTTGAACTCACAGAGATATGCCTGCCTCTGCCTCACTGGGACTAAAGGCATGTACCACCATGCCTGGCCTCCTTTTAACTTTTAAAAGGATGATCTGTGGGCAGTGCAACCAAGATGTGCTCTCCACCATAAAAATACACTGGGGCTGGGGCTTGGAGCAGGGCCTACCCGAGGGAGATCAGGAGAGGGCTGCTCACATGGAGTTTTCTAAATGATTTGGGCCACAATTCTAGGAGGGATGACAAACCTAAGGAGTGGCTGCTAAATACCAATGGAAGAGGCATAGCTTAAGAAGCTCCTCTCTGCCATACTTGTATCTGCCACAGAAACCTACAGAGAACAGAATATCAGGGAAGCAGGTCTTCCAGGCCCAGCACAAGCACCTAAACAACCTATGCTGTTTACATCCCTAAGGCTGAAAATCATCTAGAATTGGAAAGCAGACGTACTTTAGTCAAAAAGACTTAGTTGGTGAAGGGTCTCGAGAGAGCCAGAACCTATTCCAGGGGTAAAAATAACTGAGTAGATTCCTGCCTGCCATTGGCTTAAAGTGTTACTTCAGATATTTAACCTTCTGCCTCAGTTTCCCATATGTGACATGATAAGAGTTGCATAAGAACTTCCAATCCCAAATTTATGACACATCTCTAACATGCTGTCCTCAGAGGGTGACTCTTAAGACACTAACCCACATACTATATTCTTGCATCAGAGGTAAAGTTTTCCGAAAGCTAAAATCAAACAGCAAAGAAGCTGGAGGCAGAGACCTCAAAGCAACAGACACATACCTGTTCAGACTCTTCATCACTGATGTTGGTCCGTCCCAGCATGGTAGCCTTTACTGTGGACAGGATTTTGAGCTGGGTACTTATAGTTGGGATTCGCTCACATACCTAAAGAGGAAGTTTTATTTGGTGTTTTCATTGGTTTTCTTACCCACAAGCTTCTTGAAAGTAGAACATCCTGTACCCTATCCCCAGTTGCTAGCATGCAGGACTCAGTAAACAAGCAGGATCAATATAAGTGTTTTTATCCCTAGGGTCAGTCCAAATGGAAGCATTTGAATTCTTTCCTCGTTTTTTTTTAAAGGCAATCTCACAATGTAGCCCTGGCTGGCCTCAAATTCACAGTTCACCTTTCTCTGGTGGGATAAAAGGCCTGTGCGCCACCACACCTGGCAAAATAAGCTTTCTTACGTTTTTTATGAATACACCTGTACTCCCTTGCTTGTTTCTTTCCCTTCTTGAGTACCTCTTCCTTTCCCACTCACCCAGTTTCTTTGCTGCTTTTTCTCACACTTCCCACTCAGATTCATTCATATTCATTCTCTCTCTCTCTCTCTCTCTCTCTCTCTCTCTCTCTCTCTCTCTCACACACACACACACACACACACACACACACACAGAGCCTATTTTCCCAAGTACCTGTAAGAGATTGGTTCTAATCCGCTTATCTGTGCACTGCTTGGCAACCTCCTTGGCCAACCGAGTTACCTCGTCTGAGGCCTTGGCGATGTCCTTGGCACACTGAATGAGTGCCCGCTTGGTACCACTGCCCCCTCTTACCAGCCGAGACATCTCAGCCATCAGCAGAGCCATGCGCTTGGCTGCTGCAATGATGTCATTACCCTAGAGAAAAGCAAAGGTATAACATGAGCTCTGCCCACACACTGCCCAAGTTGAGGAAGGAAGTAGAAAAACAGAGAGGAGGGAGCCTGCTGCTCTGGCAGCCCTCTGGAAGGGTAAGAAAAGAAAAAAAAAAAAAACTGTTTCGAGTAATAGCACTGGAGAAACAGAAGAGTGAGGCAGGACACTGGCCCCAGCACTCAATGAGAAAATATCCTGAATGAAAACAAAGACCACCTAGATATTAATCTGAAAGGGCAACATGGGTACCCCAGGCAGGCACAGCACTGAACAAGCACTTGAGCATCTCCAGGTTAATTGTGTCAATAACATAAGGATAAGGATAGGGCCACAGAGTCAGTCAAACAGGCATTTTCATTTCTGTAATAGGGGAGAGAGCAGTAGAGCTGGCCAGACAGGAAGGAATACAGAGGGGGCTTTCCAGATGCTGAAAACCATCCTCTTCATCCTTACTCTTGTAAAAAGCAGCTGTGTACCCTCACTACTTCACTCAAATTTAAAACCCCAAGTAACTTCTCAGCCTGAGGAAAAGAGAGAGGGGGATATTTTCTAATCTAGACTTATCCTCCCTCTCTATTGGCTGTTTGTCCTGTCAGCCTGAAAGAACATGCTGCATTATTTCACATGTAAAAAAGGTAAGAATTAATTTTTTAATACCCTCAGCTAAGTGAAGCCTCCAGTTAAGGAACATTCAGCTAAGAAGATGCTGAGCGAGGAATCAGAAAAATAAAAATCATGGGTTGGGCTGTAATGGAACCCCTTTCAATAATGGGAAATCTCAGATTTGGGGCTTGGTTCACTAAACTAACGTATGGGTCATAATAAGGAAATATTTACACAATTTCTTTTATGTCCATAAGGACTTAAAATTACAGCAGCTACAGTGTTTAAAATTACCTAAATGGCCAGGCCCCACTCATTTTTCCCCTCATGCTTTTCAATTTCTGTAGGGCAGTGAGGCACACACAAACCGCCACTGCGGGGCACTCTCTGAGGGCCTCCACAGGCACCACGAAGTGACTCATCATTGATGTTGGAAGGTACATAATGTTTCAGGCAATAAATTGAGGCTAGAGAGAACACAGGTTGAGAAAGGTCATGAGGAAAGGTGTGTGTTAGAAGTCATCTCTGGGCATTCTAGTGTAGACTTGAGATCATCTAGGATTTCATGACTTTGGTTAGAAGACAGCATAGTGCTGGGGTTAGTACCCACCATCTTCAAACCCTTTCTTGCAACATGCCACCTTCAAATGGAAAAAAGTAATCATCCTCTAAACTCCCCAAGTAATGTTAGTTCAATAACAAAGGCCAAAGATCTGTTGCTGACTAGCTTATGGCCTTGAACACTCCCTGTGGCCACTTCTACCTCCTCTCTTTTTAAGACACCTGAAAAAGCAGTCAGTGAAGCTCCTTCCCCGTGGGCTCCCATGAAGGCCAGCCTCTGTCACACAGCCAAGTGCAGGGCAGCAAGCAGTCCTCCCCAGAGACTGTGTCATATAAAGCAGCTTCTCACCCTGATCAACTAACTCTGCCTGAGCCATCGGTGAGAGATCAGTGGGGGCCAGGCACAGCTCAATGGTTAAGCCAGGAGACCTTTTAATGATCTATCTACTATGGCTCCTGTGTAGAAGTCATTAAGAGATGCAACCACTGTTTCCCAATGAGTTTATAGTTCCAGTAATGGCCACAAGTTGGGAAGAAAATGAATCTTATCAAAAGTGATCCTATTTCTCATTCCCCAAACATAAATGCAGTTCAGTCTGGCATTAGCAGACCTATCAAACTTGTGAAGCCAGTCTTAACAAGGTGCAGACAAGACAAGTTGCCCGCCCTGCTCAGACTCATAGGACCCGCACAGATAACGAGTGATGCAAGGTGTCAAGGCTGTACATGGCCAGATGCATTTGGAGCAGCCCCCAACTGGGGATGTCAATCAGTACCTTACTAGACCACTTGGTAGCTTCCCGATGCAAGGACTGAGCCGCGGCCAGAATGGGCTGGTTGACCGGCTGATTAGACGGCATTAACAGCAGCTCGGGCTCGTAATCGTCTTCCATGTCAGAGGGGAAAGGGAACCCAACAGCATCAGCAGCATCTGCCTCAGCTACAACTCCTATACCCACCTCAGCGGCTGGGATACCCGGCTTTGTCGATGGCAGGAAGGATGAGAAACAGGGATAGTTGTTAGTAAGAACAATGAGACTTGGGAAATTGGGCATCAGCTGGTTTAGTAACCAAAACTTCCCTAGGATGGGAAAGAAAATGGTATACTCTCCAGGAGTCATATGAACCAAGTCCAAAGGGGGAACTCAGCCTCCAGCCTAAAGTCACCTTGAGATAAATGAAGAAACTTGTTCAAGTAAACAAAGTTTTCCAGAGAATAACATCCCAAGGCAAATGGTAGATTTGTGCTCTAGAAGTTAAACTTGACAAGAATATTAATAACATGTTTCAGAAACGAAACAACCCAATAGTAATTACCTTTAAAAGGAGTCCTGAGGGGAAATGTAAATGCAGCCAGGCAAGCTGCTTTGAATGAAAAGTGAACATCCTGCTAAATCATAAGGTCGCTATTCTTTATCATCCTGGGACACATAAAGTGACAAGTCAACTCTGTAGCTGCCAGACACAAAGCATTTCCTTCAGGAATTATAAGTTCCAGATCAGAAATGATGTGTCAAAGGTAAATCAATATCAAACCAGGAAAACAAATGTAATGAAGGATGAAGAGAATTTACCAAGCACCCAACAATCACCCACCTAATTCTAAGGAACCTGAAGAAGACACCTCATCTAGCTCCCACTGTAGTTAAAAAACTGTATCACAGACTGTCTTCCTCCCAAGGTCTTCAGAGACAAAGCTTTCACAATGTCTTATTATACTACTGACAGTACCAACTTCTAAGTGCAATGTAAATCTCTCTTTTGTTGCAAAATAGCTTCTCTCTCACCCTAAACTCAACTTACTAGTTCACAGATCAGGCAACACAAGGACTTGGCAACTAAATGAGGCTGAGCTCGAAGGAGCCCTCATATGAGCCCAAAGTGGTTGCTTATGAAAGATCAGAAACCATGATGGAAAAAAACATGAAATTTTATATCAAAGGTAGGAATTATAAAACAGGAAGGGAGTCAGATGCTGAAAATAGGCTGGAATGGAAAGAAAAGGAATTGCTTTAATGAAGCCAGGCCATCATTTGTATGAAGACTGGTGAACAAAGGTGGCTGACCTCAAGCATCTGTAACTGAGAGAAGTTTGAAGTTTGTATAGAATTTTATTTGAGGTTGCTATTGCTCCAAAAAGTCTTAGCCTGCTAAGTATATGTCTGTAATCCTAGCACTCAGGAGGCAGAGGCAGGAAGATCGCAATTAGAGGCCAGCTCAATCTACAGAATGAGACCCTGTCTGAAGGGGGGAGGGGGGAAAATCTTTTAAATAAAAAATAAATTTAAAATATTTTTTCTTTCTTTTTAGGGGGAAGGGGGTCTTTTTGAGACAGGATCTCCCTGTAGCCCCAGCTGGAACTTGCTATGTAGACCAGGCTGGCTTTGAACTCAAAAAGATCTTCCTGCCTCTGCCTCCTGAGTGCTGGGATTAATAGCTTGTGCCACCATGCCCAGTTTAAAATAAAATTTCTTATCCTAAACACAAAGTCTATCTCCAAAAAGTGACAATGAAGTTGGAGGACTCAGGGCCAGCAAGGAGTTCAGGGACCATCTAAATCCTTTCACCTAAACTGTTTCAACCAAGATTCACCCCCACTCCTCGGAGGAAAGGCCAGTTCACTGCTGCTAAAGTTCTGAGTGACAAGCTGTATAAAGACAGATCAGCAGATACAAACACATATTCCTTTCCCACCCCCATACATAGTTCAAATAGTTCCTAGCTTTGTACAACTCAAAATTCAGCAAATTCCTGATTATCCCAACCTCAGGAAACAGTCAAGCCTAAAAGCATCTGGCCACAGAGGGCAGAGAGGGGCAAATATATAAGCCAATGCTGTTTGCCACTCCTAAGCTTTACCTTTATATTTCACAGATATTTTGTGTTCTGCATGTGTGTTTATAATTAAGTTTTCTTTAAGGAAAACCAACCCTTATTATTATTCTCCCCAACTACCCATACACAATGGGACTGTGCTACATGATCCCAGTGGTGTTGGAGAGATACCATTATAAATAATTCCATAGGTCAGGTCCAACACAAGCAAAATCTCCACCCCTGAGAACCTGGACTCCCATCTAACAGTTCAGGAAAACACAGGATTAAAAACCATGGTGAATTTCCCAGCCTGAAAAAAAAAAAAAAAATACAAGATTAAGTGCAGGTGCAGCCAGTTTCCCAGGAAACTGTATTCAGCTGAGGATGTGAAAGAAATGGAGGCAAATGAAACAGTGGGAATGCAGAGCTAGATCTCAGTTATATTAGAAACACTGCTGGATTAGCAACTGCATTTTGCTCTTACCAAGAAAAGTTTACCATTCATTTTTCAGCACTTGGGGGTAAACAGGCAAAAAAAATTAATATTGAGGCATAAGTGGTATTGCATCCAATTTTCACCCACTACATTAATATTTGCATTTTCAAGTTTACTGAGTTGGAGATCATCTGGAGCTATCTTGAGTAAAGAGGTAGGATAGGCTAGGATGATTCTGAGAAAGGACAAAAGCACATGGCTTTTGAGACATCCTTCTACCCGCTTCTACCCGAAAAACACGTCTCACCTTGCAGAACCCACAAATGACAGTTTCACATTTATAGTTTTCCAATTACCAAAAGAGCATCTAGAAACATTCAATACCATAAGAAAGATAATTTTTTAAAAGGTCCAAATGTCTAGAGTCAGGACACCTGACACTAACGGACAAAAGGAAAAAAACTCTTCTCCAGCCACAAGCATTTCAGCTTTCACTTTTGCTGCAAGGAGGAAAGGCAGTCATCAAGGACTAGAAACGTCTCACTAAATCACAAGTGAGAAGAACATACTACTGGAAACACAGGATCTAAGCAAGAGAGAGAAGGCGACTGCATACAGACTTCTTCCTGGCCGTGTGCACAAGGGTTCTTCATTCCTTGTGAGAAGACATCCTTTCCCGAAACAAAAGTCCTCAGAACTTACCTTGCTAGACCATTTGCGAGCTTCATCGTGCAGCTGCCTGGCAGCCATCATCATCGGCTGGTTAATCACCTCCCCAGCTTTCTGCTCAGGGAACTCTTCATCCTTCTCTTCAGGCGGCGGGGGCCTGGGTGGAGGGACCTCACCCTCAGGCAGAGGTGGTTTAGGAGGAGCAAGCTCATCAGTTAGCTACAAAAGTAGATAAGCAAGTTGTAAGGCCTAGGAGCAACTCCTGGCTGGAACACTTTCCTCCAAAACCCATCTAGAAAATCCACCCACATTAACTCCATGTAAGACCACCCACACAGATACAAGGACCACCTGCTGCACTCTCAACAGAAGTCTTTTGTTTCTTTTTCTCCACAAAAAGCAAGCAGCTATTGTGTTGGTCAGATCCCAAGGGAGGCATGCAAGCACGACCAGATAAGGATTCCCAAAGACAATCCCCATAGAAGACATCAAACCTGGTTCTCGGTTCTGTCAAAGGATAGCCGAAAGGCAAATAACTTCTAATTGGGACCTCCAATTCTTCATCTGCCAAATGACTTCTAAATGTCATGACTCAAAGAAGCATTTACCAAGCACATCTCTTTCTTAGACCATTAAAGTCTTGGAAAGCATCAAATAAACGTTGGAAACTGGGGAAGCACCAATCCCACCTATGTGCAGAGTGACCCAATTCTCTTCTTAACCAACCTTTTACTAACATTGAATGAAAAAAGCATATCAAAGAAAGTAAATAAAATTATTGCCCCAATATGCTATTCCGCTAACCAACATAGTTTTAACCTGTTAGTTGGAATAAAATGGAATAAAATCTTATTTACTATTTTTACTACGATCATTATTTCTGTTTCAAGTATTTATATCTGCAGTATATTAACTAACTATCTTCTTAAACCATGGAAAAAATATATTCATGGTACTTTGATGGGGAAGGGGTTATGAAAAGACCTAAAATTACAGTTGGGTAAAAAAATAAACATTTCTTGGGCTGAGGAGATGGCTGAGTCTTTAAAGTGCTGAGTTTGGTCCTCAGCACCCATGTAAAGCCAGGATGGTGGTATGTGCTTATAATCCCAGTGCTGGGGAGACAGAGACAGGCAGATCCTTGGGCTGGCTAGCCAACTGTGCCAAATCGGAGAGCTCTACACATCTCACTGAGAAACCCGTCCCAAAAACATAAGGTGGACTGCTCCTGAGGGACAACACCTGAAGCTAACTTCTGGCCTCATTTCTCATGCACATATTTGCATGTGCACCTACCCTCCCACATGCACACACACAAAATTTAAAAATAAAACTTTTTTTAAAAGCCAAGTATTACTGCTGGGTGTGGTGGCGCACGCCTTTAATCCCAGCACTCAGGAGGCAGAGGCAGGCGGATCTCTGTGAGTTCAAGGCCAGTCTGGTCTACACAGTGAGTTCCAGGCCAGCTGAGGCTACAGGGGGACCCTGTCTTAAAAAGAGAACCAAAAAAAAAGAAGAGAGAACAAAAGAGAAAGACCCTGCAAGAGCCTAACAACCTGTTTTCCGATTAACAATTAGCACAAGATGGACAAATTTACTATGGCTTATCCTCATCACTTCTCCACCTCCACACTTAAAAAGCCAGCTCTGCTGCTCCACTGTCACCCTGTCACACAGCACAAGTGTTGGGTGATTGGACGCCATTCAATTTAGGGATGGAAATCAAGATCTGACTAAACATACAAGCTACAATAAACCAAGACCCAATCTGCCTCTCAGTGCAGCCTCAACACCTTACTGCTCAATTCTTCCCACTTCTCTGTGCTTACTTACTCGGAGCTGTTCAAGGTCTGGTGGAGGAGGTGGGAAGTCAGGCTCCTGAGGTTGGAAGGCTTCTCTGACCTTGGCCACTGCTCCTAGGATCCGATATCCCGAGTCCAGGAAGCTCTTTTGCAGGCCTAAACACAAGACACTCTCACTTTCAGCTGGGCAGGTCAGTGCCCCAAAGCACTGCCTGTCCAGCAGAAGAACTGGTTCCCATTAACAAAAGCGGGAGTGAAGCTGCCAGTAAGCATCACAGGCAGTGCCTGGAAGGGAAGGGAGGTAAGACAAGTCATGCCCTGAGACCTGCAAAAAGTAGAAAACGTCACAAACGAGCTGTTCCTATAGTGGCCAGGATGTCTGTACAACTAACAAGTACTTAGAAGAATCCTGGGTGCGAATAATGGGCTCAGGTAGCACCCATCACCTCTCTTATGAGGAGATAGTCATGATATAGGTCTGCCCAGTGCAGAGCATAGGCGATCTCAGTTTCAGATTGGGCATGCACTCCCTGGAGTACATCTCACCTTTCCTTTCTCTCTAGATTCCGTGCTCTAGTTGGCTTTCAGCATTAAATTAACTCTTATTTTGAATTGCTAAAAAATTCAAACCTCCAATTAGGAAACCAAAGCACATCCACAGTGATGGTGGACTGGGAATATGAGGAAGAGTGCCTAGGCCAGAAGATGAATAAGCAGCCCTTCCTACTACAGATAAGAATGGGAATAGCAGTTTTCAAACAGGGAGGAAACGGGGCATGGTGGTGCATGCCTTTAATCCTAGCACTCAGGAGGCAGAGAGACAGGAGGATCTCTGTGAGGTAGAGGCAAGCCTGATCTACATAGTGAGTTCCAGGCCATCTGGGGCTACAGGGAGACCATGTCTCAAAAACAAAAAAGGAAAAACAAACAAAACATCAAACAGAAAGGAATTCATATGATTCCAACCAAATAAGTAGCTACAATTATTCTCTCCTTTGGAGGTACTAAAAAGAAAATTTAAATGCAGCTGAAGAAAACCCAAATTCTATGCATGGCCTAGGAGATTAAGAGTTAAGCACTGCAGATTTGACAGAAATCGAAAATGTTTTATGGAGAAACACATGAAATGTCAGAAAAGTATAAGAAGTCACACCAGTTCTGTGAACTAAAGGGCTGCTAGATGGGTTATCATGCATCTTTTGAGAAATTTCCAAAATAATGACAGGGATAGGAATTATTTAGCCAGACAGCATCAAGAAAGCACAGAGAAACTGATCCAGAGAACAAAACGTCTAACAGTAACGCACAAATTTGGACAGAAAAAGATAAATGCAGAATTCTCAAATTCTCAAATGTATGTAACTGCTTTGTTTTGTTTGAGACACACCTCACTCTGTAATGGTGGCTGACTTCATACTGGTTATGTAGCCCAGATTGGCCTCACACTCATAATGATCTTCCTGCCTCGACCTCCTGAGTACTGGGATTATAGGAGTGGGCACCACACCCAGCATTATACATACTTTTTCCTCACAGACTTTGCATGTGGTGGTTGTAGATCTTGCCATCTTTCCTGAGTTAGCCTTACAGCTGCGATGAGCCACACCATGCACTGTTGCTTACCAGGGTCAGAGATGTTTCCAGCCACAGCCTTGGCATCCATCACCATTGGGGAGATTGTTTTGCTCAATTCATCAGATGCAGCTTTCACAGCCTCACGGAACTTGGGATCCTCAGAGTTCTCCACCTCCCTCTTAGCAACCAGTAAGATTCGGTTGGCCCGACGAGCAATGCTGGTTGCTCCAGCGACCAGCATCTGAGGCTGAATGTTGGCCATGGCTACCTTACACTTGTCCAGGTCTTTTTTAATTGCTTCTTCAGAAGCATCTAACAGAGATTTAGTATCAATAGCTTCATCCACCAGCCCTGTCAAGAGAGCAGAAATGGAATTTAATTTCATGTTAGAAGAACAGAGACTCCAGAAAACTGTCGTCCATTTGTTTCACATGAGAAAGCACACTCAGAATTCTCCTCTTCAGTTCAAAGCTCGTCCTACAAAATCAAAAGTTTTCAAGTGCATACAACACTTTAAAGAAAAAAAAATGACAAGCACAGCCCAGGTCACATGGACTCACAGAATTTATACCAACCATGGTCACTGGCCCTCTATGTCCACCACAGGGAACTGGACACACGAAGACATCAGGAGGAAGCAAGGATTGAGCCCGAAACTTTTACCACATCACCACCAGATTATGTGCTAGCAACATTTTCAACCCTTCCCGTCTCGGTTCCCAGCCATCTATTAATTGTTGGTAGCCACACGGAGGATCCCAGTAACCCTAACAGCCTGTTTCTTATTTCTGTTACCTCTCTTCGAACACTTAAGGAGTTCCACTTTCATTTCTGGCTGCTACAGACCCGACAGCAGGCTCTGCAGAGACAGCAAAGAGCCTACACTCCTCATGCCAGCCCTTCCGTCCTATCCCTTCCTCTGCAGAGACAGGCAAGAATCGGAGGTGCTTCTTCAGTCACACAGACACAAGTTTGTTAATGGATGGTTTCTCCTTTCTTGTAGAACTATGTAGTTGATAAGTTGGAGGAAACTCTGAGACAAGTTGTGTTAAATGGTAGCTATTGTGATTGCTTGAAATGTGAACCCTCTGAAAATGACAGGGACACTTACTGTATCCACAAACACCGCCTCCCAGCCTCTGAAACCAAACTCTAGCTGGGCCTGGGCAAAGACACTATTCAAAGAGAAGATAGGAGCTGTAACAATAAACATCATGCTGGAGGGCAGTATTTAAATAAGATGCAAACAGACTCCTCCTACAAAGCTACAAAGCTTGAATGAGAAGCCACCACTGCTCAGCTGAGTTAGTCAGGGCCAAGTACACTGTCGAGCGAGCACATGACTGTCCCTTTATCCAATTACAGCAAAGTAACATAACCGTTCTGCCTGAGGTTCTCAGAATACATGGATTAAGCTGAAAGAATTTTACAAAATTCTACCTGTCATTCTTTCAACATTATCAATCCACTGGTTCTTCATGGTCTCAAAATGTTCATAAGCAGCTTGATTACCAGGGTTCCTTAATAAGATGCGAGCAGCAGAGATGACCTGTCAGTGACAAAGCCACCTTTAAATACCAGGGCACCAGCACAATTCAAAATATAAATCCACAGTAAAGCTTTTCTCCATTTTACCTATAGATGGCACCATAAAACCAAAAATTGGCAAGTCTCTTCAGGCAGAACACATTAAGCTTGGTCTCATGAGCAGACCCCAAAGTGGGCCCTTCACAGGAAGGTTTGAAAAAGGAAATAAGGCATCAGCATAAAAGGGCATTCATCAATGTTTCAGAAGAACATACAACCAAACTGAAATGTATTTAAATCCCTTATACCAACACTTTGACCTTACGAAGTACCATAAAGAAAAACAAAAATTGTGTCTGGCAAGGCAGCTCATACTTATAACCCTGCTCTTGGTAGGCTGAGGCAGGGGATTACAAATTCAAGACCAGCCTGGGCAACACGGTGAGTTCTAGGCTAGACTAAGCTGCATAGAGACTCTTGTCTCATAAAAACTAAAGGAAGAAGGGGGGGAGAGACATAGAAAATTAAAAGCCAACTGATGGTGCAATGTCTATAAATATCAGCACTCAGGAAGAGAGGAGAGGGGAGGCAGAGAAGGAACGTGGAAGGAAGGGGAGAAAAGGGGGGAGAGGAAAAGGGAGGGGGAGGGGAGAGAAGGAGAGAAATGGAGATGGGGGAGTCAGGGAGAGAGAACAGAGAAAGGAGAGAGGAGGGGGACATATTTGAATTTTAGCTATTTTTCTATTTGTTTTCTCTTATTCCCAACCTTCTTTTGCTCCCAAACTTACTGGCTATACTTTGGTTATATTCTTAATATTGTATATCTCAGTTATATAATTAGGAATAAAAAATAAAACAAATTATGGAAACAGATGCTTTTTAAATCAGCTCAAAACAGCAGCTTTTTAAATTCTTCTCAAAAAGAGAAAGATATAGCTAGGCGTGGTGGTGCACGCCTTTAATCCCAGCACTTGGGAGACAGAGGCAGGCGGATCTGAATTCAAAGCCAGACTGGTCTCCATAGGGAATCCAGGCCAGCTAGGGCTACAGGGAGACCCTGTCTCAAAAAGACCAAAGAAAGAGAGAAAGATATAAATTCTAAATACAGACTCATCTCAAGATTAATCAGATATTTTCTTAATTATGTATATGTGATAAGAAAGAAGCCTACTTTCCTGGTTTGATTTTTTTTTTTTCTTCCTATTTTCAAAACTAAAAGCCCTGTATAAATCAAGTTTGACCCAAGGAGTGAGGAGTATGAGTGTGTGTGTGTGTGTATATGTATGACAGAGAGATGTATATGATGTATGTGTACCTTCATATGTGTGTAACCAGGTGCATGTGTAGAAGAAGCAGGTTCATATGTGTAAACTGATGCAGGCGTGCCCTGGCATGCCTGTGGAGGTCAGAGGTCAACCAGGACAACCTTGTTGCTGCTGGTCCTCACTTTCCACCTTGAGACAGGGCCTCTCTGTTGTTCAGCACTACATATGTCAGACTATCTGGCCTTTGAGCTTCCAGGGATCCTGTCTCCACGTCCCATCTAGCCTTAGGAGTACTAGTATTATAGACATGCACTACCATGCCTGGCTTTTACATAGGCTCTGGGGATTAAGACTCAAGTCCTCACACATGTGTAGCAAGTATTTTACCTGCTAAGCCATTTCCTTAGCATTTGTTTTTTAATGTGTTTATTTTTATTTTATGTATGTAGGTGTTTTGCTTACACATATGTAAGTGCAACCAAGGGCACAATGCTCACAGAGGTCAGAAGATAGTGTTGGGTCTCCTGGAACTGGAGCTGGAGTTTCGGACAGTTGTTAGCTGCCTTGAGGGTTCTGGGATTCAAACCTGTGTTCTTAGAAATCACTGGGCCATCTCTCCAGCCCCCTGTATGCGTTTTTTTCTTTTTGAAACAGGGTGTCCCTGTAGACCCCAGCTGGCCTAGATCTCGCTATATAGAGCAGGCTGGGCCTGAACTCACAGAGATAAGGCAGATGCCTCTGCCTCCCAAATGCTGGGACTACAGGCGTGTGCTACCACGCCCGGCAATGTATGCATTTTTTAATGTGATCTTAACAGTGGTTTTAAAAAGTAAAGTGTCTGTAATTAACTATATTTACCAAATACTACGAGTACTGAAATGAAGAGTGAGCAAAACTTAACCTGGGGTGTAAGTTCCCGGGCTGTCTTCACTGATGCCTGAATGCCTTCCACTGTTGATTTATTAGCAGTACCAACAGCAGCCGCCTTCTCTGCTGTGGCTCCAAGCCTTCCTGAATGGTTTTCAAAATTTGCTGCCCTCTCATCAAATACCTAGAGAAAAAAACAAAGACAGCAAGAAAATGTATTTCCAAAAAATGGATCAGGGACTCTAAGTTTAAAAAATCTCTACCCAGATTATGCAACTGCTCAGACAAAGACTTTAGAGATGACATCAAATCTTATTACTAAAACAACAGTCAAATGCCAAATCTTCACCTCTATATATCTCCTCAGGGAGATGATAGCCAGAAGCATCATGTACACACACAGAGACACACCCCTAAATCTGAGTTCAAACTTACTTACCAAGAGCAAGCAGGACACACAGAGGATTATACACTCGGCAACAGGTTCACAATATGTGAAGACTAGATAATCTTCATTCCCCAAAGCCTTAATCTCCAGTTTGAAGAAAATAGATAAACCCACTCCCGCTCCACTGTAGGCAGCTGGGTACATTACCAGCCCAGATATCCACAAAGAGTCCTAACCTGGCTCCAGTCTGCCCTCATGTATCCCATTACCATTAATGTTGTAAAAACTCTGCCCTTGACCTCTGTGGGAAAACTGATAGCTGGTGCTCATATGCCAGCCTGACAAAAGGGCAAGGATGGGGGATTTTATTAATTTCAAAGACAAAACCATCAACTTAACTGTTTATTCAGTTCTCTAATTTTAAAGTTAACTTTTCCTTCCATGTGGATATCTTGAGATACTGTACACGATGAAAAGGACTATTTAACTTACTTAAAATAACAATAGTTCTTCTATTATTTGTTTGGGGAGCATTTTTAGACTGAAACTTGAAAAGGCAAGATATACCAACTGCACTGGGTAAAGTTTATGCTATATACAGTGCACACAGGAACCTGGCAAAATACATCTTTTTTATATCCTACTCAGGGTCTGCCTGACCAATACTTGGCATCCCATTCTCCAATCTCTAAAGGTTGTCTGGTCCAATAGAAAATTCTAGTCTTGTTCTAGTGTTCTAAGATCCTCTTGCCCTATCTCGACATATCTTTGGTTTAACTCCTGAGTTCCTCACAGTCTTTGACTGAAAGTACTCATCTAATCCAGCTCTCCTAGCCTCAGTCCTTGCTTCTTACCTTAGCTGAACTGCTACACTACACATCTTTGGCCTACTTTGTTTGGCACTTCAATCCCAGGCCATGTCTGCTGCTCCTTTTAACAGGTTTTCTTTGAGCTCAACCAAAATTTACTAACCACCTACTATGTGCCCAACTTTGAGGTAGGTGCTAAAAAGACAAAAATGGAGAAGACAAAATATCTGTATCTCAAGGAGTTCACAGCCTAGTGGGGATCCCAGAAACAGGTATTTGTAATATGGTGTATTGCTAGATGCAATAATAGAATGATACACTAATATTATAGGAGCAAAAGGAAAGATTTAACCTATCCATGAAGTAAAGGATAATACCATAAAGAGTAAAGAGGAACTGGACAGAAAAACAAAAACTTAATTAGGCAGAGACAAAAAGCCAAGACACAGGAAAGGCAAAAATCCAAGAAACTATATGCAACTAGGCATTGCTGAAGCAGGAAATGAGAGACAGATCTATGCAAAACTAATACAAAAAGAGTATTAAAAGCCAGATCACAGTGGGGGCTGGGGATGTAGCTCAGTTCCTAGAGTGCCTGCCTGACATGCTTGAAGCCCTGGATTTGATCTCCGGTGTGTCTCATCAACCAAGCATTGTGGCAAAGGGCTGTGTACATGCTAGGCACACTCTCTACAAACTGAGCTACATCCCCAGATAACCAAATGTACGTAAACTCTAAGAAGAAAAGTAGTATGTGGAGATTAAGAAGTCCCTGGGGTTAGAGGTGTGGTTAATATGGTCACACAGAAGTGACATTATAGTAGAAAGGTGAAGGAAGTAAATGCATGAAATCATCTGTAGAAAGAAGAACGAGTATCAAGGGCCTGAGAAGAGAGCATGAGCACACACACAAGGGGCACTCCAAATACAACTCAAGAAGGTCAGTGTAAAGACAGGAGAATGAGAAAGAAGAAGAGCACCAACATGAGATCAGAGGAATGGACAAGGGACCAGATTCAGTGGTGTGCTGAAGCCCAGACTCATGCTAATTTACAAGCATCAAATATGGTCATCTTGTCCCAATTTTGCTTTCAGTGACTACACTAAAACAGCTATAGAAGCTGGGTATGGTGGTGTATATTCTCAATACCAATACTTGGGAGGTTGAGGCAGAAGGACTGCCACAAGTTCAAGGACAGCCTGGGCTACACAGTGAATCTCAGGCTTGCCTGCCATATATAAGTAAGACCTTGTCTTAAAACAACAAAACAACAAAAAGTCATATTGAGGGTGTTCTACATCATGGAAATCCAACCAATACTTATTTACAAATCAGGGCTTTAGATTTTTGATTTCCTCAAGAGGTGGTTTACCAGCACATCACTGGCCTTCATGGTAAGGACTCTGACTTCACTCTGGGATAAGGAGGAATCTCTAAAAGGGTTTGCATAGAAGATTAACATTAAATGATCAAAGACTTGTCCTGACTTTCATTGAATCTAAAGTGCCCAAATGAGACAGTTATGACTGGAATATTTCTTCCTGCCTTGAATGATGTCTGAGGCCATCCCACGCCATAAGACAAATCATAGAGATGCCAGTTTTTAGGTGTTTGTTTTTTTTTCAATCACTTGATCCAATACCAGAGATACTTAGTGTCATGTTTCTTGATATGTGATGAAAATAAATTCCATTTGCTTTAATCCAATGCCACATCTTTTACTGCTTATAATTAAAGACGTCCATAACTGATATACTCATTGGACTAAAAGATCTTCTTTTTGGCTCTTCCAACACTTCATTCACAATTTCATAGCCTTTGTTACTGAAGTACCTCAGAAACCTACCTCTTCCCTATTGGGTGCATCAGGAGGCGCAGTGGCTGCCACTGCCAACAGCTTGATGGGAGTTGTGGTATCGCTGAAAACATCAGACACCTCCTGAGTCATAGCTTCCTGCATCTGGGCTTTCAGGTCCTTAAAAATATTATTTACCAATGAAAACATATAGCAATATCCACAGGCCTATCTGCTAACGTCCTTGCTTCACTGACACATTCATCCATTCATTTATTCATTTACTTTCAATAACTACGTACTGAATATCAACTGTGTAGAGAGCTAGCACAGATCTAAGTTATGAATTCCGTTCTCTAAAACATTTTTGTCTAGTAAAAGGAGTAGCCATTACTCTGTGTCCCTAGAAACTGTTCTACCCAATAGGAATTTTAACCTCATTTTTTTGGTGGTCTCTACAAAATGACAGTGAGAATCATGGGACCAAACCCTAAGATGAAGCAGAGCTCCACACCATTCTCAGTGCTAGCCAGGCCTGGTGATGAACATGTTAACTATAGACAGATAGTTATTGGTAGATGCAGTGCCAAATTTCTAAACAATTTACTATCTTAACAGAAAAGAAATCAAGAATCAAGAACCTCCAGGTGTGGTGGTATACACCGACAATCTCAGCATGCAGGAGGTTATGTAGCATGAGGATTGCTAAATGTGTGAGGCCAGTCTAGACTACATAGTGAGTTCCAGACCAGCTTGTGCTACACAGTGAGACACTGTATCTAAATAAGAAAATGGTAAAAAAAAATTACTAAGTAACTGTAAAGTGATATATGCACAGAATAAAAATCATGAATGATCTCTTCATCAAATGAAATTTGGAAAAACACTAACTGCTACCGATCAGCCTTTTCTTAATAAGCTCTGATTCTCTTATATGCTTGATCATGTACTTTTCATTTCCCCTAAACCTAAGAAATTCAATATTTTTTACAAGTCTCAGGCTAGGGAGATAGCGCAGTTAGTCAAGGGCTTTCTTTGCAAAATGTGAGGCCCTGCATTCAACCCCCCGGGACCCACATAAAAATGCTGGATACGGTGCATGCTCTTGGAATCCCAGCACTGGAGAAGTGGAGACAGGCAGATCCCTGAGGCTCAGTGGCTGGCCAGACTGATCCACTCAGCAAGTTCCAGGACAATAAGATTCCCTGTCTCAAAAAGTAATGGTGGATGGAGCCTGAGGCATGACACCTCACTTGTCTTCTTACCTCTACATGCATACACACATACATGCACCCACACATATATGCACCCATACACATACACGCATGCATAAAAGTCTCTTCTTTATTTTTCAATAATCATAAACATAAAAAAGCATACTGAGTTCTACCTTTAAGGAATCTTGAAGTTGGGATGCAAGTGCTCTTGCTTGAGTACTCTCCCCTTCCCCTCTGGCAGCCAGGTCAGCTAACTGAGCTGTCAACTGGTCTACACGGTCACACTTGGCAAGAAGATCTTGGCGATAAGGCCCCATCATGACATTAGCCAGACGATGCCCTTCAGCCACAAGCCCACGGATGGCAGCCTGACCTGGACCAAGAGGAAAACATTAAAGTTCACTCTGACCCAGAGGCGGCAACTCTAGTGCCTCTTCAGGATCTTTTAAAATAGCATTTACATCCCTTTGTGCAATTTTAAAAAAAAAAATTAAAAAAAAATAGCATTTATAGGGGTACAAGATTCTCTAACAAAACTCTTTAAGAAATACGGAAAACTATAAAGAAGGAGAAACAACTATGCATTAACTTCTCTGGAGGGGGAGGGTGCGGGATTGAACCCAAGGCCTCATGAATGCTAACCACATGCTCTGCCACTGAACTACACCCCAATCTGAACTTTTCTTGATTCTTTTTCTTAACCACAAATAGTTTCCACTTCACTAAATATCTTTTAAAAACATGATCCAGGGATTGAGAATGTAGCACAATTGTAGACCATTTGCCCAGCATACAAAAGTCCTGGGGTCTGATCTCTAGCACTATAAGAGCAACAAAAACAAAAATATAACATAAAAAAGATCTATGTCATATTTTATCATACTAACCAGAACTATTTTGCTACTTATTATTGAAAACTTACATTGTTTACATACATTCAGATATTAACTCCTCAGAAATGAGTTACTTCTTAGAAAAAAATCCTAAGAATCAAATTGCTAAACCAATGGGTATGAACACTTTAACAGCAGTTTGCATATACCACCAAATTTCACAAAGTTTGTATCAGTTCATTTCTGTATCAGCAAACTATGCCTCTGCCCAATCCTCAGGAACCACAAGCCACTGGACATGACTAATTTTAATATTTATCTTATTATCCAACAAACAGAGCAAATGAAGTAAGCAGATCTTTCCACTTACGACGATTTGCTAGGCAATCACAAAACAAATTCTTAGGCAATCACAAAACAAATTCTTAAGTCTCCTAAAAAAAAAATCAAAATTTTAGGTCACAAAATTTTCAACTTTCACAAGATGCTGTGAAGTTAAAATAATCTGGGTAGCTCAGTACCTTTTACTGTAATTTTCATACACAGACACACACACACACACACACACATATATACACATACACACGTACATATATATATATTTATTTATATTTAATTGAGTACTTGGCAAGGAATACAAAAACAAACAACAGAATGAAAGCATACACAGGACTGGGGGTCATTAGTTATGAAGATCTTTCTGTTTCTTCACAGCATAATCATTTATTCTCTAAATACTTTACTTAATTAAACCATAGGAATTTTATTGGCCACATTTGGAAATGGAATCACACTGAAAAGTGACTTCCAAGCAGCTTGTTACAGATCTTCTAGGACCCCTTGGCAACAACCTGCATACTTGCACTGAGACCAGTCTAATGAGAGGTGAGTAAACTGATGTCCTTACCCACTCCCCGATCATCCACTGTGGGGTTATCAATCCACCGCTGTGCTTGCTCAATCTTGCCCTCAAGGTGGACAGCTGCCTTGGCAGGTCTGCTGTTAGCCACAGCCCTGTTAGTTTTGGTCTGCAGATTCTGCAGGGCTGTGGCTACTTGTTTAGCCAACGCTCGAGCCTCTGGGGAGTCTCCTTTCCCCCTATGGAGATTTAAAAAAAAAAAAAAAAATGCCGGGGGGGGGGGCGCAAGCCTTTAATCCTAGCATTTGGGAGGCAGTGACAGGGGGGTCTCTGTGAGTTCAAGGGCGGGCTGGTCTACATAGGGAGGTCCAGGACAGCAGGGGCTACAGGGAGACCCTGTCTTAAAAAAGAAAGAAAAAAAAAAAAAAAAATGCCGGGGGGGGGGGCGCAAGCCTTTAATCCTAGCATTTGGGAGGCAGTGACAGGGGGGTCTCTGTGGGTTCAAGGGCGGGCTGGTCTACATAGTGAGTTCCAGGACAGCAGGGGCTACAGGGAGACCCTGTCTTAAAAAAGACAGAAAAAAAAAAAAAAGGACCATCCAATCATCATTTACATTGCAGACACAGTTTATACTGACCTGACTTAACTGCTAATAACAAATGCTAATGAGAATGCAAACTGCATTTGGAAGGAATAGTTTATTTATCCCTTAAGTAAAAAAGTGATTCAGATTAACATTATTTTGTCCTAGTTAAGATACTAAAAATGACTGGGTCAATCTATACAGCTACCAGGTTATGTTAGCTGAGACTAATCACTCACCACTAGCTTGCCTGCACTCTCACCCTGACACACAGGAAAACATAGCTCCCCTGGAACTAGGTGTAGCTACACAGCCATGTTAGTAATAGAAGCAGCACTAGTAATAACAGAACTAGAACTAATGCTGCCTTTTTAGTCCTAACTCTGGCAGGCATATCACAAGCACTTTCCTTACATCACTTAAGATGCAGAACAGCCCTTATCAAGTAACAACAGTATTATCCAAAAACTGAAACTGAGATACAATGTTGGGTGAGGTTCCATTAATTACTTTGATGGAGTCAAGATTAAAAATCTGGCCCTTTGATTTTCGAGCCCTCACTCTCAAATTACCATCTGGTTTTACCATACATAGTCCCTGTTCTCTGCCATAACTGATTGAACTGGATAGTCATCTACTCAAAGGCAACACATCTGCAGTCACAAAAGGCATTTAATTAGATTCTAGTGGTTCTCAAAGTACATTGTGAATAAAAGTTATTTAGGATCTTTTTTTTTAATTTTATTTATTATTTTTATGTGTATTATGTATGTATTGCCTGCATGTAGGTAAGTGCACCCGTGTCATGCAACGCTCACAGAGAACAGAAGAGGCTGTCGGATCCCCTGGAACTGGAGTTCCGGACAGTTGTTAGCTGCCATGTGGGTGCTGGGATTCAAACCCAGGTCTTCTGAAAGAAGAGCGAGTGTTCTTAGATCCGCCTACCTCTGCTGGGATCAAAGGTATGCGCCACCACACCTGGCTAAAAGTTCATTTACATCTCCATGTCACAAATAAGAATACAATGGAGGAGTACATGGGACTGCATTCTGTAGAGGAGAGGGAAAATGAGTGGGAGGTGATATAGCAATATCAGAGTGGAATTAAAGAAATTAAGTACATACTGTCTTCGTAAATCGCCTAATTTTGAAGTCAGAGCAGCTATTTCCCCAAGGGAACGCTGAATATCATCTCTCTCTTTAGGATCATCACATAATTCTGCAATTTTCCGAGCTTCAGCCAAAGCCCCTCGAATCTGTTCTTCTCCTTCAGGTCCACCATTTGGATCTGCAAGCCAGTTCTGCACAGGAAAGTGGAAAGGCATGTGATCTACTCATGAACCACATTTAATTCACAACGCAGCCATCTGAAATACTTCTAAAGTAATCACATGGCACACTGGTAATCATTTTGGGAGTGTTACTTCTTATTGTTTTATATAGATTCTTAGCTTAGGTAAGTTCAAATCACTCCTTCATCTTTTCTTTTTTAGGTATTTTCTTGTCAAGTCCCCTTCCATCCACCAGCTACCCCAAGTGCTGGGGAATCATACCTAGCCATGCACTCTACCATTGAGCTATATTACCAGCCTTGTTGATTTCTATTAGAATAAAATTCTCAGGCAGGGGTTTTAGCTCAGTGGTAGAGTGCTTCACTAACATACACAAACCCCTCAGTTTGATACCCAACACTGAAAGAGAAAAAAAATAAATAAACATCAAAGAAAAGGTAAAATATTTTCATAAATTTTTTCATAAATTTTATCTCACCTTTGAATTAATCACATAAATTTTTAGTTTTCTCAAGCATTTATGTTTGCAAAATGCTTGAAAATCATTTTCTGTAGAGTGAAATCTGAAAACCTTGGAGTTTTAATACCACTATAACCTATAATTCACTATATTAGTAGAAAATTCTAAGACAGGCAATAGTTTCAAAATCTAGGATTCTGTTAAAGTGCTTAGTTTTGACTAGTTGAAGTACTGAAAGTTAAGATCTTTATTTCAAAATACAGATGAATATTTGTCTAAACCTGTGGTGGTAGAAAAGGTGTTAACTCTGGGCACTGTTAGGAGTCCACCAGTCATCACTGAGAACACCATTATTACCCATAGACAATGTTGGTAGGGGCAATAGAGGAAGAAATTTGGGACATCACGGAATACTTCAATTTTCCCACTGTTCCTGAAAAGTGTCATTACCTGAGCAGCATCAATTTTCTTCGCAATGCTCTGCTTTGAGTTTGTCATGGCTTCCAGCTTCCGGGCTGCATTTCCCACTTTCGCTGTGAGCACGTCCAGACCCTGAGACACCTGCTGGGCTTTCTGCATGGCCACTGTGGAGGCTCCTTGCCCTCTACTCAGATAAGTACATGCTTTCATTATACTTTATAGTAAACATTTCTCACACCCAGTACATGTCATTTTTGTTAACATGCTTGTATTTTTCTTTCTCCCCAGTCATCTCAGAGAGCACAAGACAGAACTAAACAAAGACATCCAAACTACCTACTTTCTCTTTTGCTTTTAAAGACACACAGTTTTATTTTGTTTTGTTTTGTTTGTTTTTGAGATAAGGTCTTAGTTGTAATGACTGGCCTTGAACTCCTAACCCCCTCAAGTTCTGGAATTATAGGTATGCACCACTATGTCCAATTCATAACAGCTTTATAGAACTACATAACTACTTTGAAATCAGGCCAACAAATTTTGATGACAATTATTCTTAGTTATATAACCAAACCTAAACTTCAATGGGAAAAATTTCTGGAGATCTTACTGATACATAGAGGGGACTTTGTTACTACAGTAATGTGTACTTTAGAACCAAGTGGTTCATTAATTTGTTTTATTTATGGGCAAGCATACTTTGAAATATTTCAGGAGACAGAGCACACAGTGTTAGAAAGCACACTACATTGAAACCAATTTGATCTGGGGTTATTTTTTTTATTATTTTATGTGTATGAGTATATTGCCTGCATGTATATAAAGTGTACCCATGTTATGGAATGCCTGCAAAGGTCAGAAGAGGGCATCAGATTCCCCCAGAACTAGAGTTATGGATGGTTGTTAGCCACCATGTGGGTGCTGGGAGTTGAACCTGGGTCCTATGAAAGAACAGCCAGACCTCTTAACAGCTAAGCCATCTCTCCAGCCTTCCATCTGTTTTTGAACCCTGACTTTTCCTACCTATGGGATTTTGTTATGATGTTTAACCTTCTTGAGCTTCAGTGCTTCTCTTTCTTAATTATAAAAGGAACATAAAATAAAGATAGTAACAAAATAAGTAACAAAATAAAAGTATTTGCAGTGCTTATTTAACAGAGTAGCTTCAGTGTCAAGGTAATATACTTGAGCTGGGAATATAGTTAGTTCAGTGTTAAAGTGCTTGCCTAGCATACATAGGGGTTTGATTCCCAGCAATGAAAAAAGATTTTTAAAATAATATGCTTCAGGGCCTGTATATGAGTCAGTTGTAGTGAGCTTGCCTGTATTTATGAGGTCCTGGGTTCAATCCCCAGAAAAAAAAAAAGGCAGAAAGGAGGAAGAGGGGGAAGAAAGAAGAGGGAGGGAAAAATGTACTTCATAATATACCAATCTAACTGAATTATCATTATTATAATGAACCTAATGGCAATCTTAATGTATACCTTCCAATACTATGTAACCTATTAAATGACCAAACTGGTTAGCACTGAGATGCAAAAAGTACACATTATTTCCCTTGAATTTTTAAAAGCATTAATTTCACTATTTTCCTCTCTCAGAAATGATATTCTACTACTACAAGAAATCATGTAACTTAATAGACTTGATATCCTTAACAGACTTTCTAAGCCATAAAGAAAGATTTGCCACCTTCTTAACAAACTCAGATTACTTTAATCCACCCAGACCCATAAATTCAATCCCAGGTATAACTCATTATTTTGAAGAATGGCACAGTTCATCCTAGTCTGAGCTCCAGACTAGTCTAAACTCCAAAACATCCTTGCCTCTCTTCATAATATTATGAGCCTATTATTTATCTGTCTTCTTTTATTGTATGTATGTATGTGTATGTGTGTGTTTGTGTTCATGTGTGGTTGTCATGCATGTTGGAGGCCAGAGGTCAAACTTAGGTACTGTTCCTCAGCCAGCCATCCACATTGGTTTGTTTTTTAATATTTTATTCTTATTACTATTTTTTTAAATTATGTATCTATGTGTGGGGGTAGGAAGGTTATGCATGTAACTATGGTGCTAGAATTACAGGCTATTTTGAACAACCTGACATGGGTGTAAGGAATAGAACTCAGGTCCTCTGGAAGAGCAGTACACACTCTTAACCACTGAGCCATCATCTCTCTCTGCCCTGTTTTTGTTGTTTTTAATTTTATTTTTATGTATGTAATTGTTTGGCTTGCATTGCACCATGTGTGGGTAATGCCCAGAGGCCAGAGGAGGGCACTGGATCCCCTGGAACTAGAGTTATGGATGGTTGTTAGCCACAATGTGGATGCTGGGAACCAAACCCAGGTCTTCTGCAAGAGCAGCCAGTGCTCTTAACCACTTAGCCATCTCTCCAGCCCCGCCACCTTCTGTTTGAGACAGAGTATCTCACTAGCCTTGAACTGGCTGATTAGGCTAGGCTGGCTGGTCTGTGAGCCCCAGGAATGTGCCCATCTATACACTTCCTTCACACTGCAGTTACAAACCACAAAGCACTACTATGTCTGGCTTTTTTACATACGTTTTGAGGATCTTCATGCTTGTTTGGCAAGTACTTTACTAACTGAGCTGTCTCCCCAACTCCTCTGTCCTCTTTTTAAAATTCATCTTTATCAATACTTCAGGTAATAAACTCCATAAATTTATTGCCAAGATATATGAAAAAAGGCATATGTAAACCTTTGTCTTGGACTTGAAGCAAGAAAACAGACCGAGCTGGAGAGCTGGCGAGCTGGCTCAAGAGATTAAGAGCACCAGCTGCTCTTGCAAAGGACCAGGGTTCAGTTCTCAGCACTCACAAGAAGCTAACTACTGTCACTAACTCCTGTACCGGGGATCCAATTCCTTTTTCCAGCCTCCACAGGCACTGCACACCTGGGTGCACTTACATACATGCAGGCAAAACACTCGTACACATAAAGTAAAAATAAATTTTAAAAAGAAAATGGAAGACTAAGAGGAAAAATACTGTTTATAAGTTCATTATTTCCTTTGTATATAATAATTCATGATGGGGAATTTCTGGTATATATGAATCCAATTGTGAAAAAGTAAAAATATATATGGACTACATTCAAAATAAAGTTTGTTGAGTCCCATGGGGGTAAAAATATCTTCTTCTTTTTAACTTTTTTGTCAAAAAATATCTTCTTCAAACCTAGAAGCCTGTCACGGTTAGAATATCAGTGAAGAAATTATTACTGTGTTTTAGTCATTAAAATAATAAATAGTTGGGTATATTAAAGAAAGAACAGGAGGACAGCCTTCTAATCTTTCATCATGAAAGGATATCACAGGCTCCACAGTCAATTGCCACTGTTCTAGCTTCTCTCTTTACAGATTAATGGTTTATCCCATACAACTGCCTCATTCTCTTCTCATTTCATTTCTCTCTAAACACATACAACTGTGAATTTGAGAATTCCAAATGAAAATTCTCTACCACACTGTGAAAGGGCTGCAGACAAAAGATCCAGCAGCAAGAAATCAGAGGAGCCAAGAATCTTGTCCAACCACAATGGCATTTCTCCAAAGAGGAACAGAACTTCTTTTTATCCCTTCTGCAAAGTTCTTGCCATGCTAAGGACAAGGGAGACTGCTTCTCAGCAGGAGACAGGCTTACTGGGCTCAATGATATTATATTTAAACCATTTCCTCTCCCCTTCAAGATATGTGCTCTGAAGGTCCTGCAGCTTCCTTGGCTACAATGAACCCACAACTCTACCAAAAAATACCAGTTATTACATAGTAATCTGCATCTTCTAAGGTAGAGATGAATGGTTTTATCAGATTAAAAGGCTGATGTTGATCCAAAAGAAGTACTTTCAAGACCTGAATTCTTTTTTGTTTTGCTTTGGTTTGGTTTGGTTTTTGGTCTTGCTCTTTTTTGAGACAGGGTCTCCCTGTAGCCCCAGCTGACCTGGAACTCATTATTTAGACCAGGCTGGCCTTGAACTCACAGAGATCCACCTGCCTCTGCCTCCCAAGTGTTGGGACTACAGGCATGCGCCACCATGCCTAGCTAGGACCTAAATTCTTAGATATGAATATGTTGAGACCAAGTATAATGGTATGCAATATGTTGAGGTTCATTTCTGGGCCTTGTATGAACAAATGATATCATGTACATCCCAATGATGAAGAAATTAAAACATTTTCAAAGCAAAATTAAATTTCATCTACACTAGACATCTTAGGACACTTCTCAATGTCTATATCATATTCATTAACTCCATGGATGAATTTTTTTAAATCTACATTATATTGAACTTTTTAAAAATATTTTTATTATTTTTATTTTATATGTATGAGTGTATTGCCTGCATATATGTAAGTGCACCTCTGTCGTGCAGTGCCCTCAGAGGTCAGAAGGGAGCATCAGATCACCAAGAACTGGAGCTATGGAGAGCTGTTAGCCACCATGTGGGTGCTGAGAATCAAACCCGGGTCCTCTACAAGAGCAGCCAGTGCTCTTAACCACTGAGCCATGTCTCCAGCCCCTATATAGAACTTTCTTAAAAGCAAACTAAATATTCTTATTTTTTTTAAAGACATCTGGTTTCTTTTTTAAAAAATACTTTATTATTTTATTTTATGTGTATGAATGTATTGCTTGCATATATGTGAGTGTACCCCTGTCATGCAATGCCAGTGGAGATCAGAAGAGGACTTCAGATTCCCCTGGAACTGGAGTGAAGGACGGTTTGTAACCACCATGTGGGTGCTGGGAATCGAACCTGGGTCCTCTGCAAGAGCAGTCAGTGCTCTTAACCACTGAGCCATCTCTCCAGCCCCTAAATATTCTTATTTTTATGGGGGAAATGTTCTAAAAACCAAGATTTGAGAAGGGTAAAAGGAAAGTAAAAGAATTATGATGGCCAATGAGATGGCTCAGAGAATAAAGGCACTTGGCACCATGCCTAACAACCTGAGTTTGATAACCAGGCCAACTACAAGTGGTCCTGACTGTCATATGTGCCCCTTGACACACATGTATACACATACACACACAAATAAATATATATTACCTAATAAAAACATTTTAAAGAATTATGAAACCAAGTAATGATAAAATAGAAACTCAAAGGAGCCCAGAAATTACTACTTTGGAGGAGCATCGGTTAACTGATACCAAAAAAATGTCATATAATTCTAATCTTTTCGCTTTTTCTTTTTTTTCTTTTTTTTTTTTTTTTTTTTATTTTATTTATTTTTTTTCTATCTTTTTGAGACAGGGTCTCCCTATAGCCCCAGCTGACCTGTAACTCACTATGTAGCTGGCCTTGAACTCTGCCTGCCTCAGCCTCCCAAGTGCTGGGATTAAAGGCGTGTACCACCACACTTGGCTTCACTCTCTTTTTTTTATTTTTTGGAGTATGTCAGTGTACCAAATGCATGTGTGTGTGTGTATGTGCCCGTGGAAACTGGAGGTTAATGACAAGTGTCTTCCTTTATTGCTTTCTACCCTATTTTTTTTTCCACCGTTTCCATTCCCTCACTCAGAGGGAATTCTAGGTATGCATACCTTGTCCAGTTTAGGTACTGGGGACTGAACTGAGGACTTCATGCATGCTAAGCAAGTGTTCTACCAGCAGAGTTACATTTCCAGCCCTATTTTCACTCTTTTGTGTTTCTCTCTAACCATCTTTCATAAAAGATATCTAACTTGGTCAGACTTCAACTTTGCCCTTGCGTTTCATAAAACCCTATCTAAACACTTTTTTTAAAAAATGAATTACAGCCGGGCGTGGTGGTGCATACCTTTAATCCCAGCACTCGGGAGGCAGAGGCAGGCGTATCTCTGTGAGTTCAAGGGCAGCCTGGTCTACATAGTGAGTTCCAGGACAGCTGGGGCTACAGGGAGACCCTGTCTTAAAAAGACCGAAAAAAAAAAAAGAAAAAAATGAATTACAGGCCGGGCATGATGGTGTAACACCTTTAACCTAAGCACTAGGAAGGCAGAGGCAGGCCGATCTCTGTGAGATCTAGGCCAGCCTGATCTATATAGTAATTTCCAGGCCAGCAGCCAAGGCTCCATAGTGAGACCTTGTCTCAAAAAACAAAACGGGGATGGAGAGAGGGCTCAGCAGTTAAGAACACTGGTTGTTCTTGCAGAAGACCCAGGATCAAATCCCAGCACCCACATGGCAGCTAACAACTGTCCGTAACTCCAGTCCCAGGGTATCCGACAGCCTCTTCTGACCTCCATGGGCATTGCACGACACGGGTGCACTTACCTACATGCAGGCAATACACGCATACACATAAAATAAAAATAATAATTTTTTTTTAAAACCTATCAATTACAGACTAAGCCCTAACTTTATTTTTAGGTATTTGGACATTTTACAGTTCAGATAAAAGAAAGTTCATCTTCCTTTTAGAAGATGGTATATCTATCTAGAAGATGGTTAGCCAAGATAACTTGGTAAAACTGGCATGGATTTGCTTTCTGAATCACCTCATTAGGAGTGAATATTACTAGTCTAAGAGTAGAGAACTTTACCTGGCTCGGAGGTCGGCCACTTGATCAGTCATCTGCCCTAGCATTTTACAGGTTCCCAAGATCTCCCTGCGTTCCTTGCCTGCACAAAGTTCACCAACTTTTCCAGCTTCATCTAAGATTTGCCTGATGGCCTGCTCACCAGCGTCCCCTAAAATAGATATTCAATATCAACACTGAAGCATATTAATTATTCAGAGAGGATACTTTACAAGTCACTTCATTCATGTAGGAATGGACAGCTTTAAAAATGTGAATAGAAGGCAATCCATCCAACAGTGAACAGTCAAGCACCCTCACCATAGGGTGAGGTTTTAACCACAATCACTGCTAAAAAAGGTATTTGGAACCATATCTACTTGGAAATATTAAACAGCTTGTGGTACAAAAATGGATGATGAAAATAGGGTCTAATAATTTAACAGTACTTAGCACCTTCAACTTCCATTGGACTTTTCACATTCATTCACACATTAATCTAAAACTGAATAAATATTAAAGAAGAAAAGCCATAAAGCCAAGCTCAATAACCTACTTGAGTCTTATCTTGATAAAGTCAACTTCAATTCCCAATTCTTATTGGCATCACTATAGAATCTGCTTATATTAAGTACTCTGTTGACATAAATGGAAGTCTGCCCAATGGGAGCTAGAAGAACTTTTATTCAAAATAATTACCTCCTGATTCACAGACTGAGTGAGCCAATAATTTTTCAAAGAATGCCCAGCTTCTCTTGGTTTATTTACTCACAGTGAGTGGTGATATGGTCTGTGCCCTCATCCTTTAAGACCCAATAATGTCACAGACAGAACTAGTAGGGGATGGGATATGCTAATAATGCTATAGCAGTTATCTCGGGATTATGAGATTATGGGAAGATTCCTTCCTTTCCTTCATGTGCTTATACTTCAGCTGTTTGTTATTCAGAAAAGCAGAACTATAGGGGTTACCTGGGGAGGCATTGGGGTCACGGAGCCAACCTTTGGCTTGGTTAAGTTTGGAATCTATGGAGGCCAGTGCTCTCTTCATGGCTTCAGTATCCTTTTGAAGAGAAACCCAAGTTATTTTCTTTGCAAAAATTGAGAGACTGTAATTCAAAGTAGACAGAGAGGCAGTTACAGCACTAACATACAACACCTAAGGTAGTCCTATAATGGCCTTAAAATAATCTCATCACACCACAGCTCTTTATCTATCAAAATGCAACATCGTGCATGCAAATCTTCAGTTAATTCTATTCTGCTTCCTAGTGTCTCTATGGCTAAAACTACAAACATAAAACTGCTGAAGTCAAAAGTCAAGTCTTTGGGAGAAAAAAAAAAAGCCCTGTTGTCTCAGGCCTCATTATCAGCCTTTCCACTAGTCAACATCCATCAGCTGAAGTCTTTCCAGAGCCCTCCCTGCTTTAGAAAAGCCTCATTAGTATGTGGCACCACAAAGCACATTCTCTTACACCTTGTTTTGAAATGCACAGACATACTGGATGCTGTTTCATTATATTTAATTACTCAAAAAAAAAAACTCTTGGAATTATTTGTTGGAAAAATAAATTGAAGATGATAATGTAACAGTTTTGATTTAGTTCTCAAAATAAACTACTAAAATTTTTAAAGAAGAAAACATATTTCTGGCCTTCCCTTATTTCTCCATGCCTGGTTCCCCTACCATTCCTCACCAATGGGTCAGTTTATTGCTTATAACCAGGATTCATGAAGAAGAGAATGGTACCAGCATAAAGTCTCCCAAGATACAGTTGGGAAACAACTGATAAAAGAAATTGATCAGCCGGACATGGTGGTGCACACCTTCAGCCCAGCACTCGGGAAGCAGAGGCAGGAGGGTCTCTGTGAGTTCAAGGCCAGTCTTATCTATATATCAAGTTCCAGGCCAGCTGGGGCTACAAGAAGACCCTGTTTCAAAAGACCAAAAAAAAAATCATTTTTTTTAATACAGGAAAATGCAGAGACCATAACAAATACCCACATCAATCTTCAAAACTGGCAGGCTGACCATCTCTTTTGAGATGGGGTCTCACTATACATTACTGGCTGACCTGGAACTCACTATGTAGACCAGTCTGACATCAAACTCACAGAGATCTACCTGCCTCTGCTTCTGCTTCCTGGGTGCAAGGAAGGATTAAAGGTGTGTGCCACTGCACCTGACCCTAGACTGGCCATCTCTCAAGCCTCTACTTACATCTTAAAAACCGTCCATCTTCTTTTGTGCAGGGAACTGACTCTTGGAGAGTCAACCATCAAAGCATAGTGTTAACCTCTAAATTCTAGGCAGTGTCCTATATCCCTAACTTTCTTCAATTTTCAATGCCACAGAACTAGGGTTTTCCTACCATCAGGTGTTGTACCATCAGGCTTCCACAAGGGGGCACCAGGCACATATTCTCCACCCACCAACTCCCTTTCCAATTCAAAGAGCAAAGGCAGCAGCATTCACAGACATAGTCAGCAGCCAGCAGCAGCTTTTCCAAATACTTACTCGATTAATAACTATCATCTTTAGGATTCCCTTCTTTCCCGACTAAAAAAGTATAGTTCTTCCGTTCTAACCCTAATTATATGCCACAGCAACAAAAAAGGCTGAACTAAATGATTGATTTTAAAAAATGGAAAAGTTGCCGGGTGTGGTGGCACATGTCTTTAATCTCAGCACTTGGGAGGCAGAGGCAGGCAGATTTTTGTGAGTTCGAGGCCAGCCTGGTCTACATAGTGAGTTCCAGGACAGCTGGGGCTACAGGGAGACCCTGTCTCAAAAAGACAAAAAAAAGGAAAAGTTACCAAGTTATATGGACTCATAGTAGCTATAGATAATGGGCATCAAGCATAATGGAGGGGTGAAGATCTGTCTCTTAAAACTAGTAGAAAGGTGGGGGCTGTGGGTGCAGAAAAAAAAATACTAGTAGAAAAGAATAATTTAAGTGATTTGATTCTCTTACTGTTTAAATCACTGCTCCTCCCCCACTATTTTTTTTTGCATGTGTATGAGTGCTGTGCCTACATGTATGTAAGTGCACCCATGTTGTACAATGCCTGCAGAGTTCAGAAGAGGGCGTCAGATCCCCTGGAACTAGAGTTATGGACAGTTGTTAGCCACCACATGGGTGCTGGGATTTGACCCTGGGTCTTCTGCAAGAGCAGTCAGTGCTTTAACTGCTGAGCCATCTCTCCAGCCCCCTATTCTATGTTGTTTTACATTTACTTGTACAGCAAACTTTGCCTCCAAAAGTAATACAAAGCTGAATTCCAAAATAGAAAGGCCCAAATCAATCTTTTAAGATTGTCTCAGGTAACTCCTAACCTTAAAGAGCTGGATAGCCTTTAGAATTTAACATGTTAAAAGGTATAGCACAAGTTGTCTACGCATAGGTTTGTTTTTAATTCCATAAGCTCCTACCTAGGAAATATGTACATATTCTGGAAAAGAAATGTCAATGTAAAAATATTTAATTTAAAATATGTTAATAACCATTTCTGTAATACAGATATATTCAGTGAGAAAAAAACGATACTTATTACATTTCAAAAATCTAAATTTCAAAGGAAAGTCAGATATATTTTAGTATCTAATCTAGCAATAAAGGCTCCTGGTTGAGAACTAAATTTAATTGAATATTTCTTACATAGTAGATTCTGTTTTAGACACTATCCTTTCAATTACCTCACTGAATCCTAAGTTTAAATGTAATTTCATTTTACAAATTAAGAAACAAGAAATCACTCCTAAAATCACTTGATCTTAGCCTGTTGACTCCAACATTTACTTTGTATCAAATGAAACTGAATATTTTTCTTGCAAAGACAGTTGCCAAATATGCCACAAAACTTCTGTAATAGTCAGCAAATCTCCGCCTTGTCAGTTGCAGCTTTGGTTAATACTGCTCACAAAATAAGCTCTAGAAATCAAACTCACAATCTTCAGTAACACAAATGACTGCTTTTATTCTCCAGTGTCCCAAAATGACTTGAAACACAATGGAAAAACAAGCTTTGCTGTATTCAGCATCCTCAAAAATCATTTATTTTTCTCCATACTAAAGCTCAAACTTTGCTGCTAGGAAGGACTATGATTCTCAGGAAGAGAGTAATTTATTTCTGAGTAGGAGATTTGATAACACAAAGAAGTTAAAATTAGCAGATGCTCATTTTCTTGTAAACTGAACCAATGGTAAATGTGGAATGAATTTCATTTAGTTTCTAAGTGCTTTTTTCTTAATTATATTTTTATTTATTTATGTACATGTGTGGGTATGCATATGCCACGGCACGTTCTTGAGGTCAGAGGACAGCAAAGGGAAGAGAAGCAGGAAAGATGCCTCAGTGGTTAAAAGCACTAGCTTCTCTTACAGAGAACCCAGGTTCATTTCCCAGCACCCACATGGCAGCTGAGAGCTGTCTGTAACTCCAGTTCTAGGGGATGCAATGCCTTCTTCTGGCCTCCAGAGTACCAGACACACACGTCGTGCACATACAAACATACAGGCAAAACACACATAAAATAAAAATAAAATTTTTAAAGGGTCAGGACTGGAGAGATGGCTCAGCAGTTAAGAGCACTGGCTGCTCTTGCAGAAAACCCAGGTTCAAATACTAGCACCCACATGGTGACTAGGTGACTAACAACTGTCTGTAACTCCAATTACAGGGAATCTGATACCCTCTCTTCTGTCCTCTTCAGGCCTGCACAACATGGGTTTACTTACTTACATGGAAGCATAACACTCATACACATAAAATAAATAAACAAATTTTTTAAAAAATACATGTTTTGGGGAACAAACATTTTGATTTCCTAAGATCTCACACATATTTTTGGAAGGGTAGTATTTATGATGAAATCAAGGGAATCTTGTCATGAGGAACTTAAGTACACTAATAATAAATATGATAATAAATAATAAACAGCCTCACTAAACTCTAGGACTAGAAGTCAGTTTGGAGATATATTTATAGCAGATAAAAATAATTTTAACCTGTGGTCAACCATACTGTGTACCATAAAGCATTCTGAACCCTGTCTTATGCATGTAAGTATTCAGAGTACAGTCTGAGAAAAAGAGAACATATTGTCCCTCATTCTTCGCTATACAAATTCAAATTTGGGGAAAGAGAAAAGTTGACACTAATTTGTCCTGTGTTTTTTGTTGATATTATTTTGGGTATTTATTTCTTTTGGTTTTGTTTTGAGACAATGTCTCAATATGTAGCCCAGGCTGTGCTGTACTTAAGATCCTCCTACCTCTGCCTCCTTAGGATTACAGCTATTTTCCACCATGCCAGAACCAAAATTGTTTTTAATTTTGTGTGTGTGTGTGTGTGTGTGTGTGTGTGTGTGTGTGTGTGTGTGGGGTGGGGGTGGGATGTTGTATTGTTGCTGACGATCAAAGCCAGGGACTCATACATGCTAAGCAAATTCTCTGTAACTGAGCTACATTCCCAGCCCTTGTTTTTTGTTGTTGTTTTGTTGTTGTTGTTGTTGTTTTGTTTTTTGTTTTATAAGAGCAAAGGTAAAAAAAGACCAGATCTAATCAGCAAGTTTTGGGGACATCAGGCAGATTTCTACACAATTCCCTCCCCTCATGGCCCTGCTTACCATAAAAATCATATCAGATTTTTAATCTAAAACCTGGTACTCTCCCCCACATATCAAAAAGTGGGAAGACATCCTTGCAAAAACACTCCATACTTAAGGAGGAACTGACAGACTCCTAAAATTTAATTTATATTTAGGCCTCAAGAAAACCTGTGAATAATACTGAGATCCCCTACAGACAACTAAGAGTAACCATGGTTAGAAAGCATAGTCCTGTAATCCCAGTATTTTTTATTTAAAATTTTTAAATATTGAGAATAAAGATCCTTCTCCCATTGCCCAACCTTCTTCTTTTCTGCTTCTGATAATTTTTCTTCCCATTACATTTTACTTCTGACCACATTTCTACAAGCACCATTCCAATATTCTGAGCAAAGATGTTTTTTGGAAAGAATAGACTGACCAACAAGAAAAGCATGGCTAATCCTAAAACTTTAGATGAGTTCTCTTCTCTAGACCTTAATCTCTCATCTCTAATACCTATCTTCACAACTCTAAAGTCTATACCAGTTACAAGCGAGCTCACAGATGTACCAGCTGAAGATAAACCAGCTCAGATGGGAAACATCTATTCCTTTAACATCTGGGATTTTGTCTTTGGGAAGTGAACAAAAAAAACATCATAAACGCCTGAATTAACCACTTATCCCAAACTTCTAGAGATCAATTTCTCATTCTATTAGCTGCTAAAACAAAACTTTGGAAAACGAACATACACACACACACACACACACACACACACACACACACACACACGCACGCACCACTCACATACAACCTGATTTTTTAAGTAATAAAAATTAATCTCAACCCTTAAATTACAATGGTCTGCAGTGAGGGCTAGTGTTCCAGGACCACTTATTCTGACCAGTATTTCCTTTTTCGGTAGAAAGTGAGTAACCATCTGTGAAAGGCATCTGAGTTAGTCACTGCTCCTATTCCTCACCAGCCTAGACCACAATGGGAGTAGACACCACAGCAACTACTTGTGAATAGCAGTATTTAATAACTTGAAGTTAAAAGTCACCTCTGTAGGGTTTAAAAAGTCTTAGTAATGAAATGCCATTTTGTTTTTTTATTTTTTCCTCTCATTCCTCTTAAGTCCCAGCATTTGTCAAGATGCAATATAAATACAAAAAAAGATTAAGCATAGAATACTAAATGCACAAAGAGGAGAATGAGAGCTGAATTTAACTCAAATTCTTTTGATTTAGAATGTATTCCCAGGGAAAACGCTCGCTTGACTTGTAATGATCACTGTAAGATAACTGGGTTTTGGGGGGGGGGGGCCTGTCTTTTTAAGACAGGGTCTCCTAAGTGCTGGGATTAAAAGCACACTACCATGTCTGGCTCAATGACTGTTCATTTTTAAGGGGACAATTTTTACTTTCAATAGAAATGAAGTGTTCAAAGTTACTATTAAATTTGTGAAACTGCTACTTGAATGTAAGTATAAAAGGCAAACTATTGAGCTATGCATTGCCTCCTTAAAATCTGAACTTACTCGGCAAAATGTACGTTTACCAAAAATTTGTTCCACTTACTTTCTTCCCCCACATTTCTAGAGGAACCATCACTTTCCAGAAGAATACTGCACCAGTGGGGAAGCATGAAACAAGTATGGTAAGACAAAGTTAATTATTTATTGGTAGGGACAAGAGGAGGTGAAAGACACTGTATGCATCGAACAGAATGGGAACAGACAGACACAAGGTCTGATTAAGTCATTGCTTACAATTCAGCAAAAAAAGATGCATAAACCTATTCAAATGAAAAACAGCCAACATCCTAGTCATCAATGTCTATTTTGAAGGTAACATTTCATATCCTAAAGATTCTTATAACTAATCAAATGTTTATACTTACGGGTTAAGTAGAAGAGTGACAAGAGGTAGAAGAGGATGAGGACAGGGATGGGAGTGAAACATATGTGTATTTTTTTATACTATTGTAAGTTTTGAATCAGGTAAATATGTAACAAAAGCCAGCAGATTAAAAAATCCTCTTGTTCATTCTAATGTCATGTGCTTTGCGCGTCTTTTGGCTGAACAAATTTAATTATTTTCACTCTTGATAAAGTTAGTTTTGCATCATCCTCTAGATCAGCATACAGGAAGGGGCAGCTAACAAAACAGCAAATGTGAAGACCAGATCTATTCCCCTTGTCTGTCCTGACCCTCCCCCGAAGCTCCTAATCCTGGTACTGAAAAGTCCATTGAATTCATCTGTTTTTGCTGCTTTTTTAAAATAAGAAGCAACTCTTGATGGTACTTACACATAATCAACTCTATTAATAACATATATTCACTAAACGATTTTTCCCTCCAAAAATAGAGAAACATTGTGAGTAAATGCCTGTTTTGTCTCACTACTTTCTCATCTGCTAGAAGCAAAGAGCAAAGAGACTGGGTTAGGGGAACTAAAATAGTAGAATTACGGCTGATTCACAGCCTAGGCAGAACATGCAGAAAGCCAGCAACCAAAGTTAGGACAAATCACTATTCTTTACTTCTTATCTTCTTTTACTTTGGGGGATTATGCGGGACGGGTGTGCCATAGCTCTCTAATCTACCCACTTCCATCAGGGCTTACAGCTTCAACCACACATCTCCATAAGGAAATTTCAGGGCCTACAAACTGGTTGAGCGGCACATACAGAAGTCTTCATTCCCAAGAGCTAGGTCTACAGGTGACTGACACAGCTCCTTAGGGAAACATGCCCTTCAAATGAAGCCCATGAAGATGGCCTAGGCAAAAAATGTTCTGAAAAGGGCCAGCTCAGAGAGAAGAGCACCTACCAAAATAGAAAGCCTGATATGCCATAGTAATCTGTTTCCTTTTTAGTGCCCCCCAACCCTTGAAATATCTCAATACAAGCCAAAGTCAATCTGCCCAGTACAGCCCCAAAGTCCCTTTTAAATCATATCCCGACGCATATTCGAGCACAGTGTTACACACCGGCACACAGCATAAGGCACGGCACACAGCACATGAAAACCTCACAGACATGCTTTTTCTCTTTTTAAGCGGAAAAAAAGAAACTAAAGGGCAAGAGAAAGCTTACCTTCTAAATGTGAGAAAAAGAATGAAACAAAGAAGAGAACAAAAAAGATGCACAGAAGTCATTGGGAAATGAAAGTTATCAAGTAAGCAAAAGCAAAATTAAATCAAATCAAAGACAAAATGACTTGTAAAGTTTTAAAACATAATTTTAGAATCAGTTAAAGAACTTCACCTCAGTGAGGAAATACCTCTGTAAATGAATAAATAAAGTAAACTAATTTATTATGCATAGTTAAGTTAGTTTTCTGAGCACCAAGTGGGGGAAGGGTTGGTAGTGATTTTACACTCCAAACTTTGACCTTACCTTACAGGTGGTTCTGGAGTAAAAATAGCTCTAATGAGCTCCCAATGGAAGTCAACCTCTAAAATCACCTCTTTTGTCTGCGAACAACCTGCTATGTGGCCTTAGAAACAACATTTGGCTCATATACAGGAAAGCTGGATCCTAGAGACAAGGTGTTTCCCTTGTCTTGGCCTTCAATAGGGCAGGCATAAACCAAAACATTTTAGTTTTCTCAGGCCAGGAAACTTTGTTCACAGTGGGCTGTATAAGTAAGTAACCCAGAGTGGCAGCAACTCAAAACTACTACTGACAGGCCCTAGAAATGATCTATACTGATGGACTCCATTTGGACTCAAAGAAGAGTTTCCAGAAAAGGTAAAGGGATTTTTTAAACCAATTGACAAATATGAAGACCAGTATTTTAAGTAAATTTCCCTTAGGGAAAAACAGAATGATCAAGCAACATATCTAAAAATATCAAGAGTTTCCTCTGTATATTCCTCTGGATCAAAGGTTAGCTAAGGACAAATTTTTCTTAAAGTTCATAATTATAGCCATATTCTCAGTCTTTCTTAGTCACCTGGCATCAGTCACCCATATAAAAGGCAGGGATTCCCTATGGTATGGCACAGGGAAATACCATACATAAGTCCTCCACCAGTCCAACCAATGAGAAGGGAGGTGTACATACCTCAGCCTTCTACCAATATTCACCCTATATACCTATTTATTCTTCCATGGAACAAAAGTAATTTGTAAAGGTATCAAATAACCCATGATATAAGTGAGGAAGAAATTGTTTTCACAATATCTGAGTATTCTTAAATTACACATAATTACAAAATACAATATAAGGCAGGTGGCAATCAAAATCCCTCAGGGGGACAGATTTGAGTTTTGCATATTTCTTTTCTAATAAGACTTGCCTTGCTGGCCCAGGCATCTTCATCCCAAGAGGTGAGTTGTAATACACGAATGATCTCATTAATTTCAGCACTCATCTTCTCAACAGTAAAATTCCGATTTTTCAAAGCCTCTTCTATTCCTTGGTTTTTTGAGTTTTTAGTTGTTACAAATATCTTCATAGCTATGAAAATAAAAGATCAAAAACTAATCTTAGAATTTAATCTTTAAATTTTTTTATTATATGTATGTATTTTGTATGTGTGCACATGTGAAAGTCAGAGGACAAATTGAAGGGCTCAGTTCTCTTCTAGCACGTGGCTGGATGCAAGGAATTAAACTCAGGTAGTCAGGCTTGCTGGCAATTGTCTTTAGTCACTGACCCATTTTACCAGTCTGGAATTTAATCTCATTGTTTAATAATAGTCAAAGATGGTGTTTTATACTTTGAACACCTATTTTGGTCTTCTCTGGCCTCAAAAAGAATATATAAAACAAAGAGCAAAAATCTGCCACATAGTTTCATTATCATCAAATTTCTTTGCAAAGAAAACTCAAGGTACAAAACATTACCACAACATGATTAGAAAACTAATTTAACATACAAAGATGACCTATAATCACAGCATACCTAATAGCCTCTAAAACCATTATCATCCTGCACACTAACACTATCAGTGCACTGTAGAATGCCCTACTGCTCCCAGTACCATGTTGTGCCTTGAAGAACTCAGTGTATCTTCCAGCCAGGACTTCCTTTAACATATACAAGTAACTTTCTTTTCTTTGTTCTTTTTTTTTTCTTTTTTTTTTAAAAAAAACAAAACTTTAATTGAAAAAAAAAATTTTTTAAGATATGTGTACGGGGGCTGGAGAGATGGTTCAGAGGTTAAGAGGGCCCATGTTCAATTCCCAGCACCCACATGGAAGCTAACAACTGTAACTCCAGTTCTAGGCAATCTGACAACCTCTTCAGGCCTCCGCAGGCTTACCATACAGGCAGGCAAAACACTCATATACATAAAATAAAAATAAATCCAAAATTAATTAATTAATTTAATTTTTTTTCTGCCAGGCACGGTGGCACACACCCTTAATACCAGCACTTGGGAGGCAGAGGCAGGTGGATCTCTACAAGTTCAAGGTCATCCTGGTCTACATAGTGAGTTCCAGGCCAGCTGGGGCTATAGGGAGACCCTGTCTCAAAAAGACCAAAAAAAAAAATTTCCTTAACTGAATCCTTGCCCTTCACCACTGTAGAAGTCATCAGTGTGTCTTCCCAGTGCAGTATGATCGGCAGTTTCTCATCATCTGAAACTGGGTAGCTCTTCGTTCCTGATCTGAACAGCAGGTTATAAGAAGTCCTCCTAGCTGGGCAAGGCAGTGAGTGCACTCTTGTAATCCCAGCACTCAGGGGCCAGTGAGGAAGGGCTGAGGCAGAGGGATCACCTAGAATTAAGGCCAGCCTAGACTACACAATATATTTGAAGATAGCCTATGCTGTATATTGAGACTGTCACAAGGAACCAAAACAGGGACTGGAGAGATGTCTCAGCAGTTAAGAGCATTGGCTGCTCTTCCAGAGGTTCGATTCCAAGCACCCACATCACAGCTAACAGCTGTCCTTAACTCCAGTTCCAGGGGACCCAACACCCTCTTCTGGCCTCTGTGGGCATTGCATGACAATGAATGCAATGCATGAAGGCAAAATATTCACAGACATAAAATAAAAAAGAAACCACCAGACATGGTGGCACACGCCTTTAGTGGTGCAGAGACAGGCAGAGTTCAAGCCCAGCCTTGTCTACATAGTGAGTTCCAGGGCAGCTGAGGCTACAGGGAGACCCTGTCTCAAAAAGACCAAAAAAAAAAATTTCTTTAAGATATGTGTATGTGTGTCTGTGTGAATGTATGCCATATGTGTGGGAATGCTGACTGAGGCCAGAAAAGAACACTGGGTTGCCTCAGAGCTGGAGTTACAGGCAGCTAGTTGTGAGTATCCTCCATGGGGCTGGGAACCAAGCTCATATCCTCTGTAAGAGCAGCAAGTGCTCTTAGCTGCTGAGTTATCTCTCCATCCCCAGCAGTGACTTTCTAACCCTCAAAGTAAAGAAAAAATAAGAATAATAATATAGAACACTAGAAAGAGATTATTGGGGCTGGAGAGATGGCTCAGTGGCTAAGAGTACTGTCTGCTCTTACAGAGGACTCAGGTTCAGATCCTAGTACCCATATGGCAGCTAACAACCATCTGTAACTCCAGTTCCACGGGATCCAACACCCTCTTCTGATCTACATGGTGCACTCACATACATGTAAGCAAAACAGCCATACATGCCAGGCATGGTGGCACACGCCTTTAGTCCCAGCACTTGGGAGGCAGAGGCAGGCAGATTTCTGAGTTCGAGGCCAGCCTGGTCTACATAGCAAGTTCCAGGCCAGCTGGGGCTTCAGGGAGACACTGTCTCAAAAAGATCAATAATAATAATAATAATAATAATAATAATAATTTTAAAAATAAAAGTTATTATCTTCCCAGGGCTGGAAAGATGGCTTAGCACTGGCTGCTCTTGCAGAGGAACCAGGTTCAAATCCCAGCACCCACATGGTGGCTAACAACCTTCCATAACTCCAGTTCCAGGGAATCTGACACCCTCTTCTGATCTCTGCAGGCAATGCCTAACACAGAAGCACTTAACATACATGTAAGCAATACACTCACACACATAAAATGAAAACAATAAGTAAAAATATTTTTTAAAATATTTTATTTATTTTTATTTTTATTTTTTTCCAGAGCTGAGGACCGAACCCAGGGCCTTGAGCTTGCTAGGCAAGTTCTCTATCACTGAGCTAAATCCCCAACCCCAATTATTTATTATTTTTATTTTATGTGTATGAGTGTATTTGCCTGTATGTATATGAGTGCACTCGTGTTGTGCAATACCACAGAGGTCAGAAGAGGGCTTCGGATTCCTCTGGAACTGGAGTTAAGGGTGGTTCTTAGCCACCACGTAGGTGCTGGGAATTGAACCCAGGTCCTCTGCAAGAGCACTCAGTGCTCTTAACCACTGAGCCATCTCTCCAGCCCCACGTAAAAATATCTTAAAAATAAAGATAAAGTTACCTTCCCACTAAAAAATTAAAATTTAAAAGCAAAAACTAGTTAATACCGTATTAAATTATCCAGATTAGAAAATTAGAAAGAAACCATTTCCCAACAACTTTTGCTACATAAAACAGTTGGCCCAAAAGTGTATTTCTAGGCCTGGGTTTTAGCCCAAAGGTACAGCACTTACACATAGTATATGCTAGGTCCTGGGTTCAAGCCCCAACACAGCAAGCAAACAAGCATGCCTGAAGGACATGTACCACAGCCACAAATCTCCGCGTTTAGAACACATTAAAACCTTTTTCTCTCTGCACAGACAAGCAGGAAATACCTGAAATGAGGACAGGAAGCAGCTCTTTCACCGTGTTCATTGAGTTCACCAGCATCACCCGGTGTTCCTGGTGAGTCAACTCCTGCTGTCTCTCATCAATCATCTTAGCCATCTTGGTCATTCCTAAGGCACAAGGAAGTGTAGGATGAGTAGTAAACAAGCCGGAATCAGGCTTTTTCAGCCTAAATCCATTGTGAACTACTAAAAAAAGCCAAAACGACTGTCCATTTATTTAAAGACAGACACTAACTAAACTCCAGCATTTATGCAACATTAAATGAAGGTAATTTATTAAAAGAAAACTCTAAATGTGATAATTTCCATGTCTGATAGAAATACATTCACAAATATTAAAGCTGGAACAAATAACTCATTCACAAGGGGGAGAATATTTTCCAGACTACTATACATACAGTTTTCATACCGCAGATCTGGCTACTGTGCTATGTAAGAATTGAGGAAGGGCTCATGCGGAATCTAATAACTGCAAAGCTTTAAGAACGATAATGATGTTTTGGGTTTTATTTTAACATTATATATTTTGTGTATGGGGGAGGGTGCATAGGCATTGTGGCATACATATGGATGGAGGTCAGAGGGCAACTTTCAGGAGATGGTTCTCTCCTTCCACCACGACGTGGGTTCTGGGGCTTGAACTAAAGTAACCAAGCTTTTGCCTGCTGAGTCATCTCAAAGACCTTGTGTTTTATTTTTACCTTAGTATTTTTTGTACTTTTCAAATTGATCCAAAATAAGTATACACTACTTTTAAAATCAGAAACAAAAATAGAAATGTTATAAAAAGTACAGTGATGGCAGTTTTCAAAAGCATTTGGTGTTTTAGAACCAATCTCCTAGCACTTTTTTGTTTACTTTGGTTATTATTCAAAAGTGCTATGCGATTTTTTAAAAATTACATTTATTTATGTATGTATATATATGTGGGACATAATTCCCCACAGTGTATATGTAAGAGGGTAACTTGAGATCAGTTCTCTCCTACCATGTGGTTTATCAGGCTTAGCTGCAAGCACCTTTAACAGCTGAGTCATCTTACTAACTATAAGATTACTTTTTTTTTTTTTTTTCGGTCTTTTTGAGACAGGGTCTCCCTGTAGCCCCAGCTGTCCTGGAACTCACTGTGTAGACCAAGTTGGCCTTGAACTCAGAGATCCACCTGCCTCTGCCTCCCAAGCGCTGGGACTACAGGCGTGCACCACCATGCCCGGCTGTGATTACTTTTTAAGCTTTAGATTTTCATATTACGCCTAGGATTTTTTTTCCCCTAACTAGGATTTCTTAAGTAGTTTCACAGATCATCAAGACCAAGGAGAGGCAGAAAGGGTAGGGCTGCCTCTGCTTCACCCCAAGTAGGTTCATTTTGTTGTTTGTTTTTTGAGACAGGGTCTCCCTGTAGCCCCAACTGACTTGGAACTCGCTATGTAGACCAGGCTCCTCAAGTGGCCTTGATCTCACAGAGATCCCTGCCTCTAGGATTAAAGGTGTGCCCAGCCAACGCATGGCTCATTTTTGTTAAGTTTTGCTTAAAGTTACTTGAGGAAAAAAAAACTCTTTTATCCTGTGTTATAAGAATGAGAACACAGGTCTAGGCTAAAGGACTTGCTCAAGCATGCATAAAGCCCTGGGTTAATCTCTAGCAGCATCCAACACAGCACCACTACCCCAGCATACCTCTACAGCCAACAAAGAATGTCATTTACAGGCGATCTTCAATGATGACTCAGAGAATGTATAAGTTTACAAAATAACAACTACATCGGACCCTCAGAAAGATACTGTTAAGAACAACATTTCAATTAAAAAATAATTCATAGGGCAATTAATTTCAGGTTAAACACCTATATCTTTTCATAAATCTTATTCACACATCAAGGTCTCTTAGGGGTCATGTTATGCCTGTAAGATCAAAGCTAGTATAAGTAGATTTTGAATATGCAATACTCAGTTGCCTAAACAGTCATTTCAAAGTAAGATTTAACCAGGTTACTTCTCTCCCCTTCAAATCTGATTATATTATGCAGTTTTGGGCTAGGGCACAAATCCCTAAGAGTAGGTGGGCTAATTAGCAAGCTAGGAAGTCATGAAGAGCTACAGGCTAGCTGGCAGGAATGCTGAAGGAATGCCGTGTAATGTGGAAAGGAGAGGTCAGGACTGAGGGTGGCCTTCAGCATTACAGTAACAGAAAAGTATTTCCCACATCCTCCAGCAGCATTTACAATGCCATGGTTTAATACTTTTGACAGGGTCAGAATGTATAGAAAGCAGATACAGGTTTCAGAGACAATGACATCCCCAGTAGAAACCCAGCTCCATTAAGAGAGTAGAGACGCCAAAATGCCCAATGCACCATCACCTATTTTCTGCAAAACATAAGAGAAGGGTAACTTTCCTCTTGAACCAACATGGTCAATTCATAATAAAAACTTTTATTATAAAAACTGGTTTTGACTAACCTGGCCCAAGATTCTTTGTGTAAGTAACCAAATCTTCCATAGTCTCCACCACCTCTGCCACTGTGAGATATTCCAAAATTCCTTTGCAAACTCTAATAATTTTACGAACCTGAAAATATATGAGGATTAAGTCACATTAGTGAACAGTACATTGAAAATGGCACTATAAAGATGTAGCTCTTTTAACAGTCCAGAACCCTAAAAATATCCAGTGTTCCATTATCTTTAAAACTAGGCTTTGGAGGCTGGAGAGGTGGCTCAGTAGTTAAGAACACTTGCTACTCTTCCAGAGGACCTAAGTTTGGTTCCCAGCACCCACATTGGACAGTTCACAACTGCCTTAACTCCAGCTCACTGGGAACTGACACTGTCTTCAGATCTCCAAGGGCACCTGCACACACATGGCATGCATGCACAAAGACACATACACATCCAAATAAAGTAAGTCTAAAACTACACTTCTGTCTAGGCAAGGTCTTCATGGGCCTCAGATTGCCTACCTCAGCCTCATCAAACGTAAGAAGTAGATCTGATGTGCCAGAGAGGATGCCCCTTGACCCATCAATGAGGTAATCTCGAGCAGGCACGGAGTAAGGGTCTGACTGAAGCATCTGGGCTGCCTGAACAAGTTTGGTGCAAGCATTCTCAACCCTAGGGGCAAGAAAATGGGTTAACTCCTTAGAAGAAGCAAACATAAATTATCATACATAAATGTAAAGAAAGTAAATGCTCCCGGCATGGTGACACACGCCTTTTGTCCCAGCACTCAGGAGGAAGAGACAGGCACAGGCAGATCTCTGTGAGTTCAAGGCCAGCCTGGTCTACATAGTGAGTTCCAGGACAGCTGGGGCTACAGGGAGACCCTGTCTCAAAAAGACCAAAAAAAAAAAAAAAAAAGAAAGAAACTGTCAGTCTAAAATCTATATCCAGTGAAAACGTACTTCAAAAATTGAAGGAAACATACCTCTTCAGACATGTAAAAACTGAAGTAATTCAGCACTAGCAGATCTATGTTCTAATAAATGATAAAGAAGCAAATGATGCCTGATACAAGTACGAATTTATGGGGCTGGAGAGATGGTTCAGCGGTTAAGAGCACTAACTGCTCTTTCAGAGGACCCAGGTTTGATTCCCAGCACCCGCACGGGGGCTACGAACCGTCCTTAACTCCAGTTCCAGGGGAAAGTGCACTCACATACATGCAAGCAATACACTCGTACACATAAAATAAAAATAATGTTTAAGAAATTTACACAAAAGAATGAAAAGCTCAACAAATGGTAAGTATATAAATAAATAAAACGCTTTATTTTCTTAAATATTTATCTCTAAAAGATAAGTGACAGAGTTAAAACTTAAAAAAGTGAACCTGAAAGCCGTGGTGGTACACACCCAAAAATCTTACAACTGGGAAAGCTCAGCAGGAAGATCTTGAGTTTCCAAACCAGCATTGCTGGACCTAATTTGGCTGCCCAGACAATGATTGTAAAAGGATCATCAATGATTATACAAGATAGTTTCTATAAATGAGTTAAATTTGCATCAAACTATATTTAAAACATATAATATGCAGTATGGCAGAAAGTGCATACTTTCTAACTTATTCAGTTTACAACTTTAAAGTATTTAAATGAGCAGGCTGGGGAGATGGTTCCCTTGGTAAAATACTTGCCACTCAAGCATAAAGACATGAATTCAGATCCCCAGCCCCCACAAAAAAAGGTGGCATATATCTATAATCCCAGCATGAGGAAGCAGAGACAGAAGAATTTTGCAATCTCTTTGGTTAGCCAGCGTAGCCTAATCAGTGAGCTCCGAGCCCAATAAGAAACCCTGTCTTGGGTTTATACTAGTTCAAAATTGTATGACTGTATTAATTCAACTGTGAACCTAAAAATTTACAGCCACCTTTGAAAGAGATGTATCCTTGCTTGGGAATGTGTTACTAAATATGCTAAAGCTGTAATGAAATGCTTCTAAAAAAAAAAGAAAAGAAAAGAAAAAGGAAATGTAATATAGATGATATATACAGGAGAAGTGAACTTTCTAAAACTATTAAAAATAATGAGTAGGAAAAAAAAAAAAAAAAAAAAAGCAGGCTGAGCATAGACCAGGGGAGTAAGCCACTAAGTAGCACTTCTCCATGGGTTATATTTTAGCTCCTGTCTCCAGGTCCCTGCCCTGAGTTTCTGCCATGACTTCCCTCACTGCTGAACTGTAACCTGGGAGATGTAAGATAGAATAAACCCTTCTCTCCCCGCTGCACCCCAAAAAAGAAACCCTGTCTCAAAATAAGGTTGCCAGGCATGGTGGCATATACTTTTAATCCCAGCACTCAGGAGGCAGAGGGAGGTGGATTTCTATGAGTGAGGCCAGCCTGTTCACACAGCAAGTTCCAAGCCAAACAGTAAGACCCTGACTCAAAAAAATGTAAATAAATTTACATTGTTACACAGCAAGTTCCAGGCCAAAACAGTAAGACCCTGACTCAAAAAAATGTAAATAGCCAGGCATTGTGGCACACACTTTTAATCCCAGCACTTGAGAGGCAGAGGCAGGCGGATCTCTGTGAGTTGGAGGCCAGCTGGGGCTAAGGGAGACCCTGTTTCAAAAAGACCACCCCCCCAACAAAGTAAATAAATTAAAAAATAAGGTGAATGGGTTGGCAAGATAGCTCATAGGTTAGAGGCACCTGATGTCAAGTCTGACCAATAGAGTTCGATCCCTAGGATCCACATGGTGAAAAGAGCAAACAAACACTCTCATAAATTGACCTCTGACCTACACATGTATGTCCTGACATGTGCTCCCCAACACAAAAATAAATAAAATGAAAATTTTTTAAATTAAATATTTAAATGAAAACTCAAAAATGTTCAAGAAAGGAGCTGGAGAGATGGCTCAGTAGTTAACAGCACTGGCTGTTCTTGAAAGGACTCAGGTTTGATTACCAGCACCCATAGTGGCTACAACCTTCCAGTTCCAGGGGATCTGATGCCCTCTTCTGGTCTCTGTGCACTAATATGCATGCATGCAAAACACTCATACACATAAAGGAAAAATGTCCAAGAGAAATATTTCAAAAGAACTATAGGAACACTCACTCACTCACTGACCAGCATGAATTGAAGCCCACTGATCTCGTGCTTCAGGTTTTTGGTGTGGTTTGTTTTCTGTTTTTTTTTTTTGGTCTTTTTGAGACAGGGTCTCCCTGTAGCCCCAGCTGTCCTGGAACTCACTACGTAGACCAGGCTGGCCTTGAATTCACAGAGATCTGCCTCCCGAGTACTGGGATTAAAGGTGTATGCCACTACTCCTGGCATGCTTCAGGATTTTTACACAGCCTTTTGCTCTATCTCAAGCACCTGCTCTTCTTCCTTCTTCCCTTTGCTCAATCCCCTTCTTATTCTGTTTAAAATGCCTCTTCTTTCAAGTCATCATCATGTCTTATATGTTCCCTTAGAATTTATCACACTTTTCTCAGTTCAGTTTTTGTTTGTTTTTTTGTTTGTTTGTTTGTTTTTCTTTTTTTTTTTTTTTTTTTCGTTTTTTTGAGACAGGGTCTCCTGTAGCCCCAGCTGGTCTGGAACTCACTATGTAGACCTCAAAAAGTTCAGCAACGCTAACAAGCTCATTCATCTTGTCTATTAATGTATTCACAGAATATAATGCCTGACACAAAATAAATACTCAGTAACTATTTCATGAATGAATTTTTACCAAGAAGTGAAAACATAAAATTATTTGGCCAAAGAAATCATTATTTATTTCTTTTGCATTTTTTGAGACAGAGTCTCACCATGTAGTCCACACTGGCCTTGAACTTCCTATGTAGCTCAGGCTGGCCTCCAACTGCTGATACTCCTGCCTCAGCCTCCCTGAGCTGGGTTTACAGGCATGTATCACCATGTCCAGCAAGAAATCATTAAGTAGTCCCAAAGTTGGTTTTACTTCCAGGGAATTTCACCCTTGATGAAATTAAAAGCATCAGGGAATGCAACTCCTGTGCTACAAACTAATCACAAAGATCTAGTTACTATATATACAATTTTCAAATTTGAAAAAAAAAATTTTTTTTTTTGAGACAGGGTCTCCCTGTAGCCCCAGTTGGCCTGAAATTCACTATGTAGACCAAGCTGACCTTGAACTCACAGAGCTCCGCCTGCCTCTGCCTCTGTGCTGGGATTCAAGGCATGGGCCACTTCACCCAACTTGAAAAAAACCAATTTTTAAAATGCTAGGAATAAGAATGGGTGTGGTGGTATACACCTTTAACTGCCTCCCAGCAGTTGGGAGGCAGACACAGTTGGATCTCTGTGAGCTCAAGGCCAACCTGGTCTACATAGTAAGTTCCAGGCCAGCTGGGGCTACAGGGAGACGCTGTCTTAAAAAAAGAAAGAAAGAAAGAAAGAAAGAAAGAAAGAAAGAAAGAAAGAAAGAAAGAAAGAAAGAAAGAAAGAAAGAAAGAAAGAAAGAAAGAAAGAAAGAAAGAAAGAAAGAAAGAAAGAAAGAAAGAAAGAAAGAAAGAAAGAAAGAAAGAAAGAAAGAAAGAAAGAAAGAAAGAAAGAAAGAAAGAAAGAAAGAAAGAAAGAAAGAAAGAAAGAAAGAAAGAAAGAAAGAAAGAAAGAAAGAAAGAAAGAAAGAAAGAAAGAAAGAAAGAAAGAAAGAAAGAAAGAAAGAAAGAAAGAAAGAAAGAAAGAAAGAAAGAAAGAAAGAAAGAAAGAAAGAAAGAAAGAAAGAAAGAAAGAAAGAAAATGCTAGGAATACTGTTCTGGAGGAAAATAACTTGGGCAGAACAGGACGAAAATGAAATGGAAAAGGTTTGCAAGAATCAAATCGACTTTCCACTAATGGTTCCCTTGTGTGGTAAAATGATAGGGCCAGGATAGACATATACCATTTTTTTTCTACAATAAAGTATCTGATTTGTACTTTAAAATTTAATGGGATTTATAAAAGCCAAACAAATCCCACTATGACTAACCAGCAATCACACACAAGAAGGAGTTCATCTTTGTCAGTGGAAAATGTGATTTTTATTTAAGCATTCTGTCTGCCTTTCCTCTTAAAGTAATCTTATACTTTAAAATAGAAATCTGAATGTGAGAGAATGACTAGGAATATGGTTAGTTTCCTAAATAATTTTACATACTGAATATATACTAATAGTATCTAGATACTTTAAAACAGTCAGCTAGTAAAGGTTAAGCTTCTCTATGCCTTCCAGTCCTCAACCTAAAGTATCAGAAAATGCTTAGACTTGAAATCAAACAGACCAATGACAGTCTCACAGAATTCCTAAATATGCTCACTCATGACTAACTAAATCCAAATCTTTCCTTCCTAGAACTACCAAATCATATAAGGTAGCATAAAGGAAGTTTCCAAACGTCTCAGTTCAAGGTAATTTTAATTACCACTAACCAAGACATTTAAATTTAAGCTGATTTTTTTCAGTTATCAAACCCAGGGCCTCGTGCATGGTAGTCATACACTCCACCACTGAACTGTTCTCCCGTTCAAGCTCGGTGCTATTCATAAAGATGATTCTTTTCACAGTATCACTTTGAGTTCTTTTTCCAGTAGACCTCGCTCTCTTTCTTTCTCTCTCTTCCTTCCGCCCTCCCTCCTTTCCTCTCCTTTGTAATCCT